TTTTAATTTTTAATTTATTTTATATGTACCCAAAAGGCATTCGAGGTGAAGCCTTAAGAAGAGAGTGCTCATATTAGGAATACTGGAATCCAATACCTAGGAATCACTCTAAGTAGGGTAACCCCACTCAGAATCAGAATCTCTGGTTTCCAACACCCCCCTCCGGCCCTCTAACAGGGCCCGCTTGTCATTATACATATTAATTTCAGTTGTGTCCTGTGACTATAATGCTACAGAATTGAAGATATCAGAATAATACCATATACATCACTGCCATCTATCCAACTGGATCTCAATCATGCGATATATGAGATGGGACTTTCAGCTAGATCTGGGAAGTGGAACAGTGTGAATCCGTCAACTACACAGAGAGTTACTAGGCTTTAGAGATGTGATATCTTTGGCTTAGGCTGTAGGTAATGGGACATTTTCGCATCAAGAGATAATACCAAATGGTGAAGGATATCAACAAGAAACCAATACATTCGCACCTACTTTCTAATAACCAGAAGCATCTAAAACTCCTAGGAATGCTATTACAGAAGCCAATGAAGTTTACAGAGTGTTACAACTGGATTCAGGAAGAGGCTGTAGTTGCAGAAATGATTTACAATACTAGGACAGCATTTCAAATCCTGTTATCCAGAGCAATCAAGGGTTGCCAACCGAGGAATTATCTATCCATCCAGTAGAATAGTTTCCTGCAAGTTAGTAGGAAGTACTTCAGAAGAAATCTGTGAATTCGATATGGAGTTATGGAGGTTTAAAGTCAGATGACCTAAAAAGGTTACAATCACTGCTACCTCCACAGATACAAGCCACAGATGAAACTGATCATCTCATTAAGGGCGAAGACAATTGGGGTCAACTCAGTTCGACTTGAGAACTAGGCCATAAGTCTAAAGACTCTGATGATCACATAATTAATATTGGAAACAGCATGGCTACTAGTTAGTAATATCGTAATTACCGAAGAGGGTGTGGTGATTTTCAGAATCTCCAGGTGTTCGCACATTTGGAGAATATCTGACATTGCGAGTTATAATCAGAGAGGTACATAGTTGTACAATAGATAAATATAGTCCATGAATACTCAGACGTGGAATACAAATATCCAAGTGCTTTCTAAGCTTTTAGACATTATCAAGCAACCGAGAAGTGTCCTTAACAATATAATATTGTCTTCATGATTCTACTCTACTTTACCTACTTTACTTCATTCTTAGTAGTCATAAACGAAATGAGTGAAATCTGAGCTTTCCTAGACTTTCTCCGTCTACAAAAATGAATTTTGGTTGGCCTAGACAACTCTGAAGTCTATCAGGTTGTCTCCACCTAACATGAACCTATTTGAGGCATCATACTAGCCTGACAGATAACTAGTCCAGGCATAGGAAGCCAGGGATCAGGGATGAGCTACTCTGCCTGTAGTAATTTATTCCCTGATCCAATCTGGACTAGAGTGAGAACATAGGTGATACAGACTTGAGATACTCAAGGTGAGATATAAACTGTGTTTTCATTATTCAACCACAATTTCAGAAGGCAGTTGGAAAGGATAGAACAAAAATCTTTCTCTTATTTTTTATTCCTTATTGCTAAAATCATTTGTATGTAACTTCTTTTTACTACCCCTGTTCATCCCCTATTTCCCGTTCACTTTACTACAGGACTTTTGTTCACTATAGCAAATAAAATCCAGTGGAATCCAATTTTTCCTGCTCCTGTTTATTATAACCAAGGATTCACTATATCCAGGTTCACTATAGCCAGGGGCGACTGTAGTAGTGCTCGAGTAAGTTAGTGGAGGAACCAATTGTGAAACTAACCGCAGTACAAGTACGAGTACAAGTACTAGTATTTGTACAATAAAATACTTAGTAGAATAAGGAAACTAGCAGTAGGGGTTTTCAAAGTTAAAAAAGTAGAAAAAACTTAGCTTACTTTGTTGTTTCATGTAAACTTGGCACACCCAGAAACAGTTAATTTACCATTACTTTATCATACCATACAATACTTTTTATACCAGTAGAGACAGAGGTCTGGAGGTCAGTAACAGCTACAGGTCTCCACCTTACTGAACCCCACTAAAACCCAGAAACAATACACGAAGCACAAACAAAATGATGAAAAACCCTAAAACATTTTCAATGACTCTAGAAATAATTATCTACATTCTGTGATAAAAATCTCTTGATGTTGACTCATTGATAAAACAGGCTTTATACAATGTTTGTAAGTACCACCTGAGCCACAACACATTTTCCTTCAGTTACCTTGGTGTATTCAAATATGCTACCCCAAATATGGGAACATGATTGGCTAGCATTATAAAGTAACCTAATGCAACTTTCCACTTTACTCGTTACTGAGAAATCATCTTTTTAACTTTGAAAACCCCTAGTGAAACAAGACAAGTCTACTGGGCGGATAGACACCAAATCCAACAAAATATAACTAAGTTGGGAGGGTATTTTAATTTTTCAACGAGTGACCATATTGGCGTTATTTAGAGCATGCTACTTGTAGTTAGTTTGGCAGTGTAACTCTATGAGGATGATGATTTTACTTGCTACTGAGTACAGTCACACCCCGCTGTCCCGGATCTCGATAATACGGATACCTCGCTCTCCCGTACGAATCTCTGTGAACTCTGAATTTCTTTCCACTAAAGCCTGACCCGTTGTCCCGGATCCCTCGCTGTGCCGGACGGATTCTTCCGGGATAGCGAGGTGCGACTGTACTAGTACTCGTACAGTACTGAGCCGACAATTTGGACGCATCATTGGTGTTCAGAGCGGGGTTCCTGGCAGGGAGGAAAGAGCTAACGGCGAGGCTTCCCGCCTCTTACCGGTAGGGGGGCTGGCATACCGTACTGAGTAGTAGTCCTCGAGGATTTTAAAATTGTCCTTCAGGATGCTGGTTGTGGGGACGCTTGCAACCTGTAACCGGGGCACATCCGATCTGAAAAGTGTTTAACCTCAAACTGCTAAGGCTCCCCCCGGCAACAACATTCGCTCCTATTTTCTCCCTATTTTCGCTGCACACAATACCTGTATGCTGGAGATTCAGGGAATGGAAAGGGGTTTTAAAAACATTAACTTTTGAGCAGGGCACAGTACTTGTATTGGGGTTTAAAGTTAGGTGAGTGTAACCCAATGTCATTGCCTGGTTTTTTTCAGATCAAAACGGCCAAAATGCTATTACACTGATATCATACTTACTTAGTAGTGAAGCTCGTCAAATGGGCTAAATTAACTGGCTATATTAACCGCATTAGGATGATTATTAACATGGATTACTATGCGATCCTAAATGTCATGAGTGCCTTAGTTCGAGGCTTCCCCGCCATCCCAGATGCTTTTATTCTAAAACCCGTGGAACTAGAACATGATCAAAAAGAGAAGAGCGAAAAATGAGACATGATGATTCGGGAAACAGAGCCAATTTCAGCATACATTTCCAGAATATCTCCTTCGTCTTCACTCACACCTTCCCCTTCACCAACACCTTGGCCGGAGATATAGTACAAACCGTGTACGGGTGGTGGAAGCTGTGGGACGGTGTTCGGGCCGTGGTAGTGATTTATCCGTTTTGGTTTGGTATTACGGTGTTTCGGCCGACTCCTCGGCTTTGTGTTACGAGGTGCGCGGGTGGTGCTTTCCAGATATACCAGGACCGCAGCATAGGCGGGTTGGAGCTAGCTTATATATATACCTCTTAGACTTAATGTTGTAGCTAACAATGCCGGTTCGGAATGTCACCTGTATTCGAGTAATTAGCTGTAGTAAAATTATTGAAACCACTGGCAATACCCTAATATAGGTTCATGGATGCTTGGAATAAGACAAAGATGTTTGAACCGGTCCTGTCTAATACAATCTCAGGCCAACCCCAGACTCCCCCGCCGAGAATCTTTTGAGATTTGGGAGTACGGCGATGGAAAAGGGAAGAGATTTTACCTCGATCTACGGACAAAGTTGGTGTTGAGGAACTTTGTGGACCTCACTGCCTTCTCTGGCCTCGCTTCTTCATCAACAGTCACTCATCTCTTTTTATTTATTTTTTCTAAACATGGTTAGCCAAGAATCCCCCAGGATCCTGCACTGGCGCCGAACACTATGCACCATAGTCTGCTTGTACTAATATCTCTATGGCACAATCAGGGGAGACTACGAATCAATTGACTCTAACATTCAAGCTACTGGGCGACACGTGGTTACTAGGAGGCTATTTTATACAAGTAATAGTTTGGGGTACCAGTGCGCTGGTTTAAGATCCCACTTTGCAGGCCGGCTCTATTCACTTCCCCCATGGTAAGAATCTCAAATACCCAGACATCCATCGCCCAAATTCTAGCTTTTGAATATATTTTTCAGCCAAAATTCCTTTCCTTTAATATATACATATATATATATACTCTCCCCTCCAACCACCCTAAGTTCATTGCATCCTCCAGGGGACCCTCCTTGTTTCCCCCCCCCTTCTGGTTCAAAGCTGGTCGGTTTACCCCGGTATTTTGTTTCTCCCTACTTGGCTCTTCTCCTGAGCCGTTGAATCAATGGAAAGGAGACTGACGAGAGGCCACCAGCTCCTGTTGTCTGTCATCCATGCAGGGTTCAGATCAGAGGGACCTCACAGGAGGTGCAGACATTGCAGATCAAACTCCAATTGATGCAGAGAGCGTGGTAAGCTGCTTGAAAAGCGGGGGGATTCAAAGAGCCGGCTCTCCGCTTCTTCCACCAAGTAGACTGGCCCAAGAGGGCAAGCTTCAGAAACATGCTATCGGCCCACATGTCCACCTCCGTCAAACCTCCTCTCCAGTCATGTCTTATCCTCTGGCCATACAGACCCATCTGGAAAATAGTGTGAGGAGCTGTGACGGAAGTAAAACAGGTACGGAAGCTCCGCTTGTTCACAAGATGAACCTAAAGGTTAGGGTGACTGAGAACCTCTCTGGGGCAGGACCAAGTTCGGGTGTCTTGGGGGATAGGGCAAAAATGGGTGACCCCAGGTGTTCCAATTCGTCCCCTGTATCACTTTCGCAAATATCCAAAACATCTCTCCGATCAATCAGAGAATACTCACGATACCCTGTACATCGGGGTCTCCGAGTCGTCACTTCCATTGCTCACCTCGGCGGCGGGGAGGGGTCACAAGTTAACGAGGTATCTGATATTAGTTCTTACTTCGATAGCGAAGACCCTGAATGTGGATTCTCGCCATATTGCGAAGGTGGAATTGCGGTCGAGTTTCCTACTATTGACGAAAAAGAGGATGACGACGCACTCCACAGCCCGGATGCGGATGAGGGGGTGAGACCTAGTTACAAAAAAATGGCTATTGTTATCTTCACCTGTGCGACCTTTGTCTCTGGGCTGTTCATATTGTTTATTGTGTGGCCAGTCTTGACATATGGTGGGTATGGATTATTGGGGGGTGGTTACGGTAAAGGAGGCTCCCTAACAGAACAACCTTTATCAGATTCAGATCATCCACTCCTCCGCAATGTGAGGAGCACGCTGATTGACCCGCACACCCCAGAATCTGCCCTCACGCGAGGTTCAGTTTTTGGGAAAGGGAATCTGAAGCTTGTTTTCAGCGACGAGTTTAATAAAGACGGAAGGTCATTTTATGAGGGTGATGACCCTTTCTGGCAAGCTGTAGATCTCCATTATGCAGTTACCCACGATCTTGAATGGTATGACCCGGATGCTGTAACGACCAGAGATGGTACTCTTCAGATGCGACTGGACGTGTTCAGAAACCATGACCTAAACTACCGGTCTGGAATGATCCAGAGTTGGAATAAACTATGTTTCAAAGGGGGCGTTCTTGAAGTTTCTGTCTCCCTTCCCGGCCCACCGAGTGTCCCAGGGCTCTGGCCCGGGATTTGGACAATCGGGAATCTCGCACGTCCCGGATATAGTGCGACAACTGAGGGCGTTTGGCCTTATTCTTACAATAAATGTGATCTGGGTATCACTCCAAACCAAACCAGCTTTGATGGGTTATCGTCCCTTCCGGGCCAGAAGCTTGCTAGCTGCGTTTGTGAGAGCGAGGACCATCCTAATCCTGGGACTGGGCGTGGCGCGCCTGAAATCGACGTTCTGGAGGCAACTGCGGATGGAGACCTGAATTCCGGCGCCGTCACACAATCATACCAAGTGGTAAGACTACCCGAGTGAGCACCTGTGCATTAACACTTAAATCGAAGATAGGCCCCATTCGACACTTGGCACAAGCCAGATTACGACTACCTAGCTATCAATAACCCTAACGTCACGAAGATAAATGAATGGAAGGGAGGCCCCTTCCAACAAGCTATCAGCGGTATGCTAGTGAAGTCTAATCTGGTGTGTTGTATCTCTGATCGTCGAATCTAGGTGTTACTGCGTTGAATGACGAGTGGTATCACAACCATCAGGTAGCTCTTAACCAGCCCCCCTCCTGGTATCGCTGGATCTGAACCATGATTCTATAGTATCAAAAGTATTCCTTTGAATACATACCGGGGGAGGAGGATGGTGCAATTGCGTGGTTTGTGGGAGACGAGGAAACTTTCCGTGTACTTGGACCTGCCATTGGGTCAAATGGTAATATTAGTCAGCGGGAGATATCCCGTGAGCCAATGTCTATCGTCATGGATTTAGGATTCAGTGCCTCTTGGAGTTGGACGGGCCAGGCGGACTCGAGGTACAGGAAAGCAATAGCCGCACCCCGGGATACAAGGGGGCTGACTTTACTAGACCCATGCTTGAGGAAGGGGTGACCCTGTATATTGATTACGTTCGCGTTTATCAGCAAGAGGGCGAGGAGTCTATTACTTGTGACCCACGTGAGCACTCTAATTCACAGATTTTCTGGTTTCTAACACTTTTTGGGTAAATTAGCTGGTTATCCCACCACAGATTACATTGCGAAGCACCCAAAGGCGTATACTAATTTAAGTTTTACCGTGAGTTTTTCGCCACACTGAGAGACCTCGGAGGACGGAGGGGCTAACATTTCTACAAGGCATGGGGTGACACTGGTTACCCGTGGCCTAAGAGCAAGATGGTGCATGGGTGTTAAAGAGAGATGCGCAATTCGAATGTACATTTTTTTAATCATGTCTATTATACTTGTTGCGGTTATCATCACTCTCGATCAGAGGAATTCGCTCCTATGGGTTATCAGAGAACTTCACATAGTATCTTGTGCCAGGGCTGTGTGGCCAGAGGCCTGTAAGGCAATAGAATAATAGTGTGCTTGTGTTGGGTATGATAATTAAACAAGATATATCTGCTGCCTCACAGAACTAGGTATTAACATTGCGTTTAAAACAAATAGGCCTTCCCTCCATGATAATAATATTTATAGCAAAAAATTATCCCCAGAAAACACCAAGAAAAATGCCTCTAATCTCAACAGAAGAAATATGCTTACAGTAATACATGGCACGAGGGGATGGAACACCGCCCTAATCATAAAAAAGTAATAGAAATGACCACCACGAACTCCCCCGGACGGCGATTATTCGAACTGCTGCTCCTAAACCTCCTCCTAAGAGGCACCACCCTCTGGCTCATAGTCGGTCTCCTCGTCACTACTCTCGGTAGGTATGCTCTCGAGGGCAGAAGTATACCCAGAAGAGAAACTCGGGCTGCGCGGGGCCCTCGCCAACTTGCTCAACCGTACGCCCTCGGTCTTACTGATTGCCTTTAGTCTTGGCCCACTGTTCTTACTGCTACCCTCCTCCTCCTCCCTCTTCCCGCCCGGACCCACGGAGGTAGCACTACCCGACCTCAAAACCGTCCTAGGCGTCGACTCACTAGTGATCACCCCCACGTTTTCAATTCTGCGCTTCTTGTTGGTCTCCCAGGGCGCGTAGTACTCGACGTCATCAGTCCAATCGTGAATGTCGGCCGGCCGCTTGCGACGCCCCTTCGGCATCGCGAGCACCTTTGGCAACCCCTCCAGGATTGGCCGCTCCAGCTGCTTCCCGAGGAGTTGCCAGAGGCGTCGCTCCTCCTCTTGAGAGTCCCGCTGATCGCGCGATTCGAGGTAGGATTCTTCTTGGTCCGCGTATACTTGGTACTCGCGGTCGAGGCGCTTACGGATTTTGTTTGGCTCGTGGTCTACGTCCGGGTTCAGAATTATAAAGTCGTCGCCCTCTTTGCCATCTTCGTCCCGTAAGGTTCCGTCGTCGTCTGAATCGCTGTCTGAGGGTGGTGATGAGGTTTGGTTGGAATTGGCAAAGACTGGTGTTTGGGTGGAGTTGTCGGAGTTGTCATTTTCACCTTCAACTTCGGAATCAGCGTGGGTTGTTCCCTCTTCCTTTCCCCCTTCCTGAGCTGACCCCTCTTGGTCGGATGCTCCTAGCTTCTCCTTGGCCGCTGGACGTGTTCGAAAAGTTTCCTCAGAGCGCATGAAACGCTCTACCTCATCTAATGGAGTTAGAACGTTTTTTCTGCCATCGAGAATGTAGAACCTGCTCTCAAGGACATCTAGACTTAGTCTTCGCGGAACCTTGGCCCAGTACTCCTTCATGTTAGGAGCGAGTCCCAGAGTGTTGGTAGCCGCTTCTACGTCAGATGGTCTCACATCAGATTCCTTACTAGATCTGAGTATTCTGCTGTTGGTGGATCTAAGCCGTGAATGCGCCATGAAAATGGATGCTGATACGAGTTTTCTTGTAAAGCCAACGACCAGAGTATGTATATCGATGAAGGCAGTGTATCGGATCGAGGGGGGTTGGTCACCTAAGGTTTGCCAGCTTTCTTTGGGACCGTTCATGAACACACTATGACGGTCAATTGATGTCCAAGACGATAGATTATGGGATGAAGTAGGTGAAAGGTTAATGTGTGAAGGATTGAAATGTACATACTATTCAGATAAATTCAGCATACTCAAGGGACTAAGTAATTCAGCCTCTGGCGCAAACTCACTAATCTTTTCAAGGCCCTCCTCATTGGTGCCATCCTCGTAACGCTCGTATAGATCTTCAATGTGTTCAGAGGTGTTGTTATCCAACAGCCAGAATTTTCCCCACTTATTCTTCTCCCTTCTCTGCTCGTCAGCCACCGTTCGATTTTCCAAGAGCTGTGCCTCCTCCTCCAGGGCCTCTGCGCACTCGTCCGAGATCTCTACAGCTGCCGGTATGTCGGTCATTCTTGGCAGTCTCCCCCCTTTGTATAAAAGATTCTCATTCGCCTCCACCACTGCCTGATTTAGAAGTTTTAAATATGTACGACATTCCACAATGCTCTTTGTCTTCATATGGTTTGCGAGAGCAAGAACGTCGTGTCTTCCAATTCTAGCTATTAAATTGAAGAATTTGTGCTTCTCTGTATGATTCCACCAAGAACCAACGACCCACGATCCTCGTAGGACCCCAAGGCCATTAGAGCATAGCTCTTGTGAGTTTGCTGAAAATATGGCGTCATTAAGCTCCGTCACGTATTCCGGGTTGAATCTATCGATCTGCTGCCCACGTCTTCTTCCAGGAGTGCCGCGTTTAGGCGCTGGTTTTTGATCAGACTCTTCCTCAGTGTTCTCGGTGGAATCACTAGCATCCGAGCTCGAGCCTAATGCCTCACTGGTAGGAGTATTGGGCAAAGAAAACCCTGCCTTGCTTTTCCGGTAAACATCATCCTCGGTGATCTGGGGAGCGGTCTCGCCCGCTTGAGAAGGGTCTGTGATCCCATGGTCACCATTATCATATGTCAACCCCAAAGAGTAAGCTCGAGGACTTGCCTCTTCCGCAGGTTCATAGTGCTCTTCCTCACCTCCCCCATCATCTCCTCCATGTTCATCTCCTCCGCTATCTACGTAACCATCATGTTGTGAATCGAGACTGGACTCACTATCCTCATCACTAAGGGGGGGCGGAGTTGGCACCGCGGCAGTCACAATTTCCTCCAAGGGCGTAAATCCAGAGTTTCCGCGGATTCGCCCGCTATCACCAGATTCAAATCCAGAGCCTGCGTCGTCCGGCTCCGAAGCTGAACCCCAATCTAATTCTAGTCAGTGATAATCACTAACCCCGGCGAGTGTAATTCACCTTGCTCTATTCTCACCCATTCCTCCAAGTCCTCTGAAGCGGTTGACAAATCTGTTTTTAGAGAAGAGGGCTGTGATACAGAGTTCGCGTTTTCTGGCTCCAACGTGGGAGAGCTCGCCCCAGGACCACTGGTAACTTGCGCTTTTCTGATAGTCTCTGGCTCCGATTCCGTCTCTGAGGAAACAATTATAGGTGGCCGACGTTGTTGTGTACATTGCGTATTCGGCGTGGTGGATGAAGTAGAAATGCGGGATGACTTTGACGATCCAGGAGATTCTGAGGCCATTTTCGTGTGGAGTTAAGGTGTGAAGATAGTGAATGGGTGTTTGTTTGTTAAGTGAGCTCAACTGTAAACAGACTATCATACGATAACAGATATCACTTCACCCAGGAATCGAGAAGATCAGATTAGATAATTTCGGTCCCAAGACTTGATTCTAGCTTGGCGTGTGTTAAGGACACTCTGCTTCAACTCTCCTCTACGGCAGACAAGGTACAATTCCATGCCCAAAACTCCGACCAACCATAACCGCCTCCACCAACAAAGCACCTTCGAAATTTCTCGAAAATGGCAGCAAAGCCCAAAGCTAACCTTCATGCCCTCCCAGGTAGGTCATTCATTATTTCCTTCTCCATATGACCTCAAAATTCGCGTGCTAACATGTGGCTCCCAGAACTGAAGAACACATCCGATGATTCTATAGCTCTCGTTTGTTCCATCTTTTCCCCCCGCATAGCGACGAGGTAAGTTTAACAACTGACCTATTCTCTAGTATCTAAAATCAAAAGGCTGGAAGCAAAACCACACTCTCACGGATGTCCGCCTTGTCTTGGGCTTCTCTGCCGTCATAATCGCCGGAGGCACCTTCTATTATGATTACACTCTCGGCTTCGATAAGACAAAGGTCATGACTTTATATGCTGTGATCGCCTATTTTGTCGCCAACATAATTCTCACATGGTGGATATGGGGTATGGAAAGCGGTAAGGTTTATGTGGGTTCAAAAGACGGCGTCACTGTGAGTAGATTCTTACAAAGAAAAAAGTGCTCGGTGGATAAACATTAATAACTTGGTATTAAGATCACTATATCGTCACACACCGAGAAGCATTCACCAATCTACCATCTCAAAATTGTTTCTCGATCGCCGGGACAGAGGCCTACTACGACCGAAGTAGAGAGTCCCTTCACCAGCTGGTTTGATACACAGGGATTCCTTGTGGAGAAGCCATTCATGACCTTTATATCAAATTCCATCCCCTCGATGGCAGCAACAACCCCCGAGGGACAGCACCTAAAATCCAAACCGAAACCGAAAAGCACGAAGAAGGCTTAAATTGATCGAATCGGCTGTGTCGAGACTGAAAATAAAAATGGGTCTACAGATTCCATCACTACCGTGAATCTAAGAACTATAGGGTCAATGAACAGCGTCTTGTATTATTAGGAGCTTGAGTATTATTATTTTTACGGGAAAGATACAGTCTTTTAAGGACTTGCTGCGCCGTTTGATTTAACGCTCTGTACATTGTTCAAATTCTCTCGATCCGGCTCTACTATTTCCCGCGTTGCGATTCGTAGTGCTCCCGGAGTGTCGAAAGATCTACCGACTGCGCCCAACCAACCTCGTTATTACGAGGGCTGAAATTGTTTAACATCCTGCACCTCTATTAGACTTCGCGAACAATGTGCCACGAGATTAAAAGGGAGGTAGGTATACTCTGGAAATTTGACTTGGACTGTCTTATTAGGCTCAGAGTTCAAGAACAAGGTTCGATCGGCCGCAGCTCTCTCTATAAGTACAGTACGTCGAGTGTTTCTTTTCTCCCAAAGGTCTTGAACATCCGAATAGTATTCGATAGCTCGGGTGAAAGGAGATCGGTCGCTACCGGAGATACTCTGTTCAAGTTTGTAGAGAGCGATGGTACCAACAACTGCCGCAATCGAGAGATAGAACCCCTTGCCAAAAGCTAGCGAAATACCAATCAGTATTTAATAATTCAAATGCATCAACAAAGCCATTTTCGGTGGAACCTACATTCTTCGGGCGGCGGTGTAGAGTGGTTCATCTGGCCATTTGGCGCATTCGGAGGAGGTGCCTTGCCCTTCTGAGCGCCGGTCAAAGTAGCATCATAGCGTCTGCCCAGAACTACTCTCGAGGAATAAAGGATAGCCCTACAGCTGCTTCGGAGGACCAGCATATCGAAGAAATTAAAGGGAGATGGTGTATTTCGAATGAATATCAAATGGAGTTTGACCTGGTTGGCTGCAACATCTTGGCATGAAACCCCTCCATAAATAGCCGGGTAACCTCAAAGACACCTGAAGCAGGAACTGTGGCTTTCTCTGGGAAATATCATAGACTTCTAATTTAAAGCTCTAGTCCACCCCAACAACTCAACAGCACCATCCCATCTTTCATTCTTTTTACGCCACCTCCATCATACACAAACATCTTCTTCATCGTTGATAATCATGGCCTCTAGGTTTCCATCGATTGAGGAATTCGATGAGGGGCAGACCTCCGCTACCACTGGCGGTGAAACCCCTTTAGATCTTGGGCTTGGGGGAACGAGCGGAATGGATTTCTCTGAGCGCGAGAGACTTGCTTTAGGAGAAGACGCAGCCCTTTTTGCTAATCCAGCCGATTCTGATCTCCTTGGTGGGGATAGCGATGCTCAGGAGAAATTCCAGCAGGATTCTTATGAGGGCACTTACTTCCCAGCTCTCGATAATCCGGTGGGTGGAGCTATGCTATAGGCCCCCTATTTTCTTTATTTGTCCGAATCTTCTATAAGAAAGTGTATCTTCTAATCCTAGAGTTTCCTGGGCAGAGCATCGGTCCTGGAGGTGTTATCACTGGAACTTCGGAGCCTTACCTCCCGAATCAGAATACTTATTCCGGGATGTCAATACAGCCTGAGGAGGAGGAACCCGAAGTAATCAAGTCGGCTACCCTAAACTTCTACGAGTTTATATTACAGACTTTTCGCTAACTTGAAACCCACAGGCAATGGCGCGAACGTCAAACTCTAGAGATTCAGCGCCGTGATGAGCTCTCGGAAACTCGCAAGCGTGAGACTATCGAGAAAGCTCAGCGTGCCGTCGACGACTTCTACGAGAACTACAATTCCAAGCGTGACAAGGCCATCGAGGTGACCCGGTAATTATATCATTTCAACTCTTTTACGAAAAGTTAACGAAAGTACAATAGTACCGAGGCACAGGAGTTCTTGGACTCTCGCGAGAATACTACTTCCGGAGGCACCTCTTGGGAGAGAATTGCAAAACTTGTTGACCTGACCGAAAAGGGTGCAAGAGGTGGCAAAAGCGACAAGACCAGATTTAGGGAAATGCTCTTGAGCTTGAAAAAGGACGAGAAGGTAAGGACGGAAAATAAGCTATTTCGCCCCCGCTCTAGCTCTGACTCCGTCTCTCTTAGGCGCCCGGCGCTAGTGGTTTCTGAAAGCCCTGATGGTCCGATTTATGGGTGGTCTTTTTCAATAAAAAAACAAGCAATAGGCGGGGAGCATAGAAATTCTAATTTGGGTTTTTTTACATATATCTTTCTGTGCTAGGAGGATGTCTGTACGAAACTGTAGCAGGGGCGTTGGCGGATATTTTTATTTTCCTTGTGGGATACCTTTGTTGCTACTGTTGTACTAACTACATCATCCACTCCTGATCCATGAAATTATATCATACCAAAACCGAGCTTACCCGATAGCTTCCTGTGAGTTTTCTAGAATCGCTCCTTCTGGGAATTAGAGTGTGATGGCAGATTTCTACTTCCATTAAACCAGAATATATAGAGGCTTCATACTTGTAGGGATATGATTCATTTTAATTTCTAACACCATGCTATGACCTAGTACTACCATAGATCCGCAATGAGATACATAGGGGATGGATATTCCTAAGAGATATGATACTGTGCTCGTACAGCACATGTTTGAATACAGCACTAAACACACAGCCACCGCTCTCCGATACAGCAACCAACTTCACTCACACTCCTTCGGCTCACCGCATACGATCCAATTCACCAAGACACACACTAAGGTACTATACAGAAAATACTTTATCCATTTATTTAATCCGCCTCGGCTACCCCAAGCATAGTACTCATACAGTACCCTGCCCAACACCACTGCAGTTTTAGAAACGTGCAAACAGGAAAAAAAAAACGAAATTCTCAACCCATACCTACCACCCAGACAATCCATCCGCTCATTCCCCGTTATGATATAGAGGGAAAAAGGGGAACTTCATTCAACAAATTAGATACACCGCCCGCGTTTCGTCGGGATGTGAATTGAACCTGAACAAAAATAGAAAGGAGGAAAATTGAGGAGTAAGAGCGCCACGGCACACCACTGGGAGAAAGGAAGGAGGAGGAGAAGAAAAGGAAGAGAAGAAAGGGACAAGAGAAGGGGGAGAAAAAAACACGATTCACGCGCCAATGACACCCTTTTGAGGAGAGGAAAAGGGAAAGGGAAAGCGGGAAAGCAGGGAAAGGAGAGTGATGATGGGATGGTAGTAAGGGTAATCCGCCTGCCTATTCCATTTATCCATCCATCAACCAATCTAAGCTTCAAACGCCACATACCCGCCCGGGTTCTCGAGCGATACCGGCTTCATACCCATCTGCGGGATCGTGGTAGAGACAGCCGTAGCAGAAGACGAAGAGCCCGCGGGCGCAGGGGTAGAAGTAGCACTCCCCACCGCTGCCGTCATCGACGCCCCAAGCTGTTCGAAAGCCAACCTGGGGCCCTGCCCGCCAACTTGTCCTGCCTGCGCCGCGATCTGGAAGCCCTCCTGTCCGCCGACAACCATAGCGCGTTGTAACTGCTCTTGCACCTGCAAACACTGTTTCTTCATGGACAGCCTATCCAGGAATAGTTGCTGTCTCCCTTTCTCAATCTCTCGACGCTCTGCTTGCAGGACTTGCTCGAGTTCGTTAAACTGTGTGAGTTTGAGCTCTAGCTTGCGGAGGCTGCAGTTCACAACTGCATTGACGAGTTTTGTCATTTCGCGCTCTTCGTTAGAGGCAAGTGCATGTGAGCGTGCGGCGGACGCAGCAAGGGCGATTGTGCCGGCCTTCGCGAGGGGGTTTTCAGAGGTGGAGGCGTCGTCGGAAGGTGAGAGGGGGTCGCCGCCGGCGGTGGAGGAGGTCTCGGGTTCGTCAACATCCATGCTCTCCTCTATCTGGCCTTCAGATTTTACTGGCGGGGTTGCGGTGGTGTTTGTTGCGGCATCTGGGGAGGTGGGTTTTGGTGTTGCAGAGTTTTCAGGGCCGTTTTCTTTGGCTTTCTGGTCGGACTTTTTGGAACCGGACTCAATTGTCTGACCAAGGTTCTTGGTCATTTCCTCGATAGAACTTTTGGCTGCGGCTGCGGCAACCTTGGGGTCAACGATGCTGGCCAGGAAGGCTACTACGCTCATTACTGGGTTGTCGGCCTGGGTGAAGGGTGTGCGGTTGTATTGGAGGGGGCCTAGCTGCTCAGGTTTTTCTTCGAGGTAGTTGTCCTCAATTGGAAGCTGGAGAAAACGAATTACACACTGCTCTCTTGTTCGAGTGCCGACATGTTCTGCAACTTGGTTCCAGTCTTCATTGTAAAGCTCGAGCCCCTCGAGGAGCTGGAATGTTTCCTGGTCGGTCCACGGTGCGTCCCTTTCTACTGTTGGGTAAGAGGGATCTTCCATGCGCACATAATCAGTGTTAGTAGATGAAGATGGAAAGCGGGCCTCCAGGAAGCAGTTGGGGCACAACTCGATTTGCTTCTGGTTGCGAGAACTCCTGGCGGAATGGTAACGAATGCGGGTGCAATCGATACCACAAGAAAAACAATTATGGGTCTTCTTGTCCACACCATCCTCCAAGTCTATCGAGTGTCCATTGGCCTGAGATGAGCCGCTAATCTTATTGCCAGAAGCATCGTAGATGTTTTTACGGATTTCCAGGTTCAATTCGACCTTAGAGGGACCAGCGCTTGCTGCGCGCTCAGTTACGGCATGGGGTTTTCCGGCTGTAGTGACAGCTCCAGGAGCGGGCTGGAAAGGCTGGAGACCACGAGGAGTATCTGCGGTAATCCGGAAATGGCCTGTAAAAGGTGGTCCAATATTCGAAGGACGTGTCTCAGGGTCAATCTAATAAAATATTCATTAACCGCAAAAATTGTAAAACCAGAAGAAAAAGTAATCAAACCTGATAATTTATCAAACCCCATTGTTCCAAAAAGGCATGAACACGCATTATCGAGCAAACATCGCCTGCAAGATTTCTCCTACAGGCTGTCACAGTGAGATATTCAGACGGGTTTAGACGATAAGTGTTGACCATGAAATCGCGATAGTCCTTGTATACCAATGGCGTCTTGGATCTGTTTCTATTGTTAAAGAACTCGGGTAAAGACTTGCGCTCAATGTCCTTGACAACATTCATGTCAAACCATGTTGAATAAGAAGGCATGACCACAGTGTGGGTCTGCTCAACGAGATACCCCCTCGCAGTCTCCTCCAGCCTTTTCTTCTCCGTTCCAGGTGAGGCTGGCGCTCCCGATGCTTGCCCTCCTTCCACCTGCGCGCTGTCGCCATTCTTCCCAGGGGATCCTGGGGCATCGATTTTTTGAGGGGAATCGCCAGCACCTTGCATGATGGAATCGCCATCCTCAGGTGCGATATTTAACTGCTGCGCATTGGCGTTTGCCGGCGACCCAGCGGTCGAAATTCCCGGAGAATTTTTTCGCTGTCCATCAGTTGCATTGGCGGGAAGCTGAAGGGAGTGAATCGGGTTGTGTCCAGTGCTCTGCTCGTCATCCTCCATGGGTTGTCCTGGTGTTAGTCCCAAAGGAGTTCCCGCATCAGCGACGAGATGAGGCTGACCCAACGGATTGTTGGCTATCGGGGTGCCAGCATTAGTTCCTGATAAAGGCGATTCGCCGAAATCGATATTGTCTGAATCCATAATTTTTCTTTAACTATAAGATGAAGCCGGAAGGTACGATCGCTGCGGCCTTAAATAAGTCGAATATTCACTCGTTCCCGTTTAGGGAGAAGAAAGGGGGGGGAGGGGGAAATATTTGATTTATTTCCCCAGGGTAAAATAGGAGTAGGCGGGTATCTTGGGTTAGTTGGAGTAGTAATGCCGAAAGGAACAAGCGGGTGCCGAGTTGCCCAGATAAGGGTTGGTTCTTAGATCTGCGATGGAGAGAAGTTGTCGCGTCGAAGGGCGGTTGGTGTCAGTTGCGCGATGGCGGCTGGAGGTTGCAGGGAACGAAACAATGTGGCTGATAAAATTGAGTGACTAGATGCACCATTAGTAATCGTGATCACAAGTTCACATTCTGATAATATCATAATACAACTCATCATGAGCACGAGTTAATTCTCTCTAGCCAAGGGCCGAACATTTCCCTCCATAAGTGGGAACTCCCAAGTAAAGCCGCCTCTTTCCACTCCAACATTCTCTCCACCACCAAACAAACTTTCAGCCATGTCTATTTGTGTCGCCCAGACAAGAGCTTCCCTGCTTCGATTACCTCATCAGTCCGCTCGTTCTACCGTCCGCTCTCGTCCATTCACGCCCAGCCCACGACTTCTCAACACTCTTGCAGTTCTCGAACACAAAGATGGAAAGGTTTCTTCTCAATCATTCCCGGTCGTCACCGCTGCTTCAAGATTTGGTGGGCCTGTCACTGTTTTTCTCGCAGGCTCAGGTTCGAAGGAAGTATCAGAACAAGCTGCGAAACTCAATGGCGTCGAGAAGGTAATTTACGCTTCAAACAGCGCCTACGACAAGGTAGCCCCCTCCACCTCTGAGCTCCGACACCATCCATCCCCCCCCCATGTCAACACTCACACTCACAACTATTTCAAGGGATTACCCGAGAACTTTGCACCCCTACTCGTAGAGAACATTAAGAGGGGACACTTTACACATGTCGTCGGTTCCCACTCGGCATTTGGTAAAAACATTTTGCCACGGGCATCTGCTCTGCTGGACATTCAACAGATTTCCGACTGTATTGAGATCAAGGACGAAAATACCTTTGTCCGACCCATCTATGCCGGTAATGCCATAGCAACAGTCAGGTCTACCGACACAATCAAGATTGTCACTATCCGAGGAACTGCGTTCCCCCCAGCGGAAGAGACATCAGATACAGCGACTATCGAGGAGGCGCCTATAGATCCTAATGCAGAATGTACAACGGTTTGGGTGTCCGAGAACCTCACTAGATCAGAGAGGCCAGACTTGGGGACTGCTCCAAAGGTTGTTTCGGGTGGACGGGGACTTAAGGATAAAAAAAACTTTGATAGATTAATGCTCCCACTCGCAGACGCCCTTGGTGCTGCCATTGGTGCCTCAAGGGCTGCCGTGGATAGCGGATTCGCAGATAACAGTTTACAGGTTGGTCAGACAGGAAAGGTCGTCGCTCCTCAACTCTATCTGGCGGCTGGGATTTCTGGAGCCATCCAACATCTGGCGGGAATGAAAGATTCCAAGGTTATCGCCGCTATTAATAAGGGTATACATAGACCATATGATAAACATCAACGATAGATACCAAGACTAATATATTATAGATCCGGATGCGCCAATATTTCAGGTTGCCGATGTTGGGCTGGTGGCAGATCTATTCCAGGCTGTGGGTTAGATCCAAACCACACTTCCGATCATTGGCTAATAATCCACGTGACAGGTACCGGAGCTCACAGAAAAACTGAACGCAGAGAAGAAATAACTACATATTACCAATTAGTCCCAAATTTTAAGCACACTATATATACTATCACATTACCAGTACATAGACGATCGCAAAATATGATGCTGTCGACAGAGAGGCATAATCTATCACCATGACCGCCGCTAGTCAGGTCAAATTATTGTACAAGTATCACTAAAGCTGTAAAGAATTCAATTTCGTTTTCCCATCCAAAACCCAAACCCATTTCCTTGCTTAGTCGGATTTCCTTTACTGGCATCTACCATCCCAATAATTATGCTAACATGGTGTAATGCGTGTATCATCCCTAGGGGCCCCCGAAAAGATAATGTTGCTCATAAACAAGCCTTTCCTAAGTTATCACCATCAATCTCACAAACAGGGGCTCGCGATCATTTACCGCTATTTATCGCTGGCAATCAACAGCTTACCGGAACATAGTAACAATAGAAACTACAGTACCGACAGAACCGTGATGGATATGATTACCACAAGCAACTTATCCGTGCAATGTAAGGTATCATATCTCTTTTTTATAATAATTATCATATATTTTTGCAACCTACCGGTAGTCGGTGTAGGGGCCTGGGCCTACAGTACCCCTAAACAAATTCCTAAGTGACCAAAAGTGCTGTGTTTGAGGGCTATTTGTGAACCACTTTGCAGGTCGCAACGCGAAATGCTGAGGAAAAAAACAAAAAAAACCCTAACTAAACGCGTCTTTCCGTCGTTCTTGCCGCCACCTCCTGACTTCACTCCCTTCACACTCTTTGTCGCGTCCAGAGCTCAGTCCTACACCCACACCACGTACTCTCCTGAGAGATCACACATCCATTCTTTAGCATTTCTCTACTTCTCTTTCTTCTCTTCCCCTCTCCCGCTATCGATCATTTTCGTCTGGTTATTTTGTTCTTCCCTTAATTCCTTTTACAACTGAAGAAATGTCTAGCGGGTCTCCTTCTAATGCAAACTCCCCTGCTGATACCCAGGCGACGTCTGTTTCACCTCCTGGTGAAACAGATTACTCTCCTGCAGAGCCAATAAAGGTTGAAGATACCGGTAAGTTATTTATTTTATCTGTCCGTTTTGAGCAATTTTATTTGTATATATATGTATATATGTACATATTATTGGGGAGCTTTAACAACTGACTCAATACTATCCTGCGTTAGAGGATGACTTTTCCAATGTTCCTGTGGATAAGATGAAGATTCGTCTCGACTTTTTAATCAAGCAGAGTGGAATTTACACCTCCATTATTGGTGAGAAAATGATGCAGCAGCAGCAAGCGATGAGGAAGAGAGCTGAAGCCATCGATAAGAAGCAAAAGGCCGAAATGGAGGAAGAGGCGGCAAAAGAAGAGGGGAACATTAAGGTCGAGAACGTCCGAAAGAGCTCCCGCACTGCTGGTGCATCCTCTACTGAACAGGAGTCGCACAGCGCAAAGATCAAGAGAAGGCCTGGACGCACTGCTAAGAAAGAAATTGCCAATATTTCCGATTACTTCACCAAAGACGAACTGAAAGGCGTGGGGAATACTGCGCAGGCATTGGCATCTGCAGTCGGGGAAGCCGGTGAGACGAAATTGGGTCAACAGAAAGACCTAAAGTCAGCCAGACAGCCCAAGTTGATTACTGGCGGTATTATGAAAGAATATCAACTTCAAGGACTAGAGTGGCTGGTTTCGCTGTACGAGAATGGACTCAACGGAATTCTGGCAGACGAGATGGGGCTTGGTAAAACTCTTCAAACGATCAGTTTCCTAGCGTTCCTGAGAGAAAAGGGCACATTGGGCCCTTTCCTAGTCGTTGCACCCGTATCTACGTTGTCGAATTGGGTTGAAGAGATTGCGAGGTTTGTGGTTCTGTTTGGTTGCTATCCATACTGGGCTTGATGGCTTATTGTTTGTTTAGATTCGCACCTGAGATCCCAGCTGTTCTATACCATGGGACTCCACCTGAACGTGAGGAAATACGTAAAACAAGGATGGCGGAGATGGATGCGAGGTTCCCCGTTATATGCACGTCTTACGAGCTCGTCATGATTGACCGAAAACATCTCAAAAAGCATAACTGGAAGTTTATCATCATCGATGAAGGTCATCGTATCAAGAATCTCAACTGCAAATTGATCAGCGAGTTGAAGAAGTACAATTCAGCAAACCGTCTGCTTCTCACTGGCACTCCCCTTCAGAACAATTTGTCAGAATTGTGGTCTTTGTTGAATTTTTTGTTGCCTGATATCTTTGACGATCTCGCTAGTTTTCAAAATTGGTTCAATTTTAATGACTTGCAAGAGAAGGAAGGGCATCACGCATGGTTGGAAGAGGAGAAGAAGGTTGGGATTGTTGCTAGTTTACATGCAATCTTGAAACCGTTCTTGCTCCGGAGAATCAAGGCAGACGTTGAAACTAACTTGCCTCCCAAGAGAGAGTATATCTTGTATGCACCTCTGACCAGGAACCAGAAGGATCTCTATGGAATGATCTTGGATCGCAAGGCCAAGGAGTGGTTGATAGAACAACTACTCAGCAGCAGGAATAGTAGCAAAAAGCGTAAGCTCTTAACCGTCGGCCAAGAATCACCCAATAAGAGGGCCAAGAGCCCTGATCCAAAGCGGAAGAAAAAGTGTGTTTCATATAAGGAGCTATCGGATGATGAGTATTTCAATATGCTAGAAGAAGCGCCATCCGGGGAAGAGGGACTAGAGCCTACTGTCACTGAGGATGAAAAGCTGATTCTTCAAGCCAGTAAGTGGCCGGCCCACCACATAAAATTTTGAATTGTACAATTTTCTTTTGTCAATGATTCACTAACATGTTTCTTTTTTTTTTCACCAACAGCTCAGGAAATTGGCACCAAGAAGCTGCAAAATCGCATTATGCAACTACGTCTCGCTTGCAATAGTCCTCATTTGTTTTACTGGCCGTGGGGCCAAGGTGAACCTGATGAACGTCTAGTAACCGTCTCCGGAAAGATGATGCTCCTCGAGAGACTCGTTCCAGCGCTCTTCGCGAGAGGTCACAAGGTTCTTATCTTCAGTCAGTTCACCAAGATGCTTGACATTATCGAGGAATGGGCCGTGACTCTTAGACATTGGCCCGTTTGTAGAATTGATGGTGGAATCAAGCAAGAAGATAGACGTGAGCATATCAGGAGATTCAATAAAGACGAAGGGTGGAATATCTTCTTGCTCAGCACTAGGGCCGGTGGTTTAGGTATCAACGTAAGCCCCCCATCCCTATCCACTATCTAAGATCTTTTTTTTTCTTTTTTTTTTTTTTACTAACTAAAACAACAGCTCACAGCCGCTGACACTGTAATCCTCTTCGACTCAGACTGGAACCCGCAGCAGGACCTCCAGGCCCAAGATCGTGCGCATCGCATCGGGCAAAAGAAGCCCGTGATAATCTACCGCTTTGCCACCGCCGCAACTGTGGAGCAAACCATCCTGGAGAAAGCAGACGGCAAGCGCCGCCTGGAAAAGCTGGTCATCCAGAAGGGCAAGTTCAGGAGCGTCTCCGCCCCCTCAGCCTTGGAGGAGGAAGAGCTCGCCCAGATCCTCAAGGAGGACTTTGAGAAGGTCAATGTCGTTGAGCAGGGCACGCAGTTGCTCACCGATGCAGAGCTAGAGACTTTAATGGATCGCAGTCCCGAAGCGTACTCGCGCGCTGCCAAAGGTAAGGAAGAGGCTAGTGGGGCGTTTAGAGTCGTGGAGACCGGGGCGAAGGAGGAGGAGGAGGAGGAGGCCCAGGGAGCCGATGGTAGTGCTGGTGATGGGACCGGCGGAGTTTAGCTTCCTCGACTTTCCCTTTTGAAGGAAGCAAGGAAGGAGCAGTTAATGTCATATACTTGCCTTTTTTTTTCCTTATTTTCTTTCCTTCTACTCTCACTTTTTTCTTCTTTCCGCAAACAAATTTTACCATTAGGTGATACAGTAGACGTGCTAGCGGTGATCCAGTGTTCTTTTATTTATTGCTTTTCGCGGATCTTTTGGTACCTCTTTCATTCTAGTTTCCTCTTCATGTTTAGTTGACTCATCTTACTATTTGTCACAGAACACTGGATCATTGCTTTCTCATTCCCGTTTACATTCCCAGCTAGCTAGTTACTTCCCTTACCTACATTAGTCCTCCGCTTACCTCCCCTCACATGTATTTATTCCCATCCCCCCCTATTATGTAGTACCGTACTATTATCACAGGCCGGGGGAAACTTGTTTTCTTTTTTTCCTCGTTTGGTTTGGTTCGGCTCGGTTCTTTAGATGTATTTTTACTTTCGATATTTTTAACTACGAGTAAAGTTATGGTGGACGGACGGACGGATGGAAGGGAGGGTATATCCTATTGCTTTCTCCTCTTATTAACATCCGTCTTGCCAAAATGTATGGTATGCGTGATGAGTTCTGGGTGGCTGGGTGTTCAATTAACTTTCCCCCCACGGTGGTGTGTCGTTAAGTAGTTTTTTGTAATGTTGGTATTACTTTGTGTCGTAGGCGGGCTGGTTGCGAGAATATTATCGGGATTGAATTACGTGAACTGAAAACAATATTTCTATATTTATAGAGTGTTTCCCCTCTTACCTCTACTGTGCTATATATATATGTCCAGGTTGTCTGTTGGCTTATCCATCCATCACTCCCGTTCAACCCTTGGTCTTCATAGAACATCACTCGCTATGAAATACCCTTGCAATGAATCGTATACGGGGTTTTCGAGTCGCTGAATCATGCCATATCAGACGGCAGTGAGCTGATCTTGGGTGGGGTGAACTCAATATCGGTATTTTGGCATTGGATAATGTTTCACGAAGAAAACACGGTGGTGGGGCCCAGATAAAGTGCGGTGATGATGGCCCCGGAGGTTGGGTGGTGGGTTATTTGGGAGGCGAGTTGTTATTATTATTGGTGGTATATTGCGGGGTGCGGTGCCAGCGGCATATGCTGAGTTTTTTTTCCTGGTCTACCCCAGCGCACTATACCTCACCGGATGGTAACGGATAGAGAATTTCTTTCCTTTGAAAAAAAGAAAAGAAAAAACGTCGTACCATATTGTAAACCATGCCTTCTCCTTTCCTTGATATTGATCGAGCGAGGCGATGTCAATACAACTGACGGTATGGTACCGGCGGCTTCTGCTAAAACCGAAAAATTGAATATCCCCCCCAACAAAAGGGACAAATATCCGAGCAGTTCCGATCGAGCTACCTTTTCAAGACCCCAGGTATCGTGCCCTTCCGTCCAATCCTCCCCCTAATTCTGCTTAGGTTTAACAGCCCCCTCCCCAACAACATAATAAACAACGGTACTATCATCGCTGACAACCCCCATCATTAACTTTCTTCCTTCCTTCTCCTTCACCTTCTCCTCCCCCCCATCCCCATCCTCATCCATCTCAGGCAGTGCGTCAAAAACCTCCGCCCACTTCCGCAGAGACCACTTCTCACGCAAGTTAACCGGTAGCACCCACTCCTTCTTCGTACCCTCCGGCGGAATTCCCGAGATCAGTGGTCGCGGGAGGCTCGGTGATGTGTGGATCGAGAGGGAGTGCCAGTCGGCTTGGTGTTGGAGATTTGTATGCACGATTTGTAGCAGGTGGTGGAGGTATTGGGGGTGCGGGTCCGTTGGGGTGGTGGTCCCAGCGGTTGACATTTTGGTTGGGGTTGTGATTGTGGATGATGGTAGGGATGTTGGTGATTGGTTTGTTGAAGCTTCTTGATGAGCTTGGGTTGCCAAGAGTCATCGGGTAGCACTCGGAATTTGGCTTGGATCGGACTTCGCTGACTTGTCTTGTGTCCCAAATGTATCAATTAACTTACAGTATCATAATTTAGGCTATGCAAATGTGGAGCTGAGCGAAATATCATATAAATTAGAAACGCTCTTCATGATGCCCAGGAACCCATCTCATGGTGAACGTGGCACACAGCAGAAGGCTAAGGTAGGAGTTTATTGGCGCTTGGAGGTATGATAGGGAAGACCAGCTTACAAGACCATCGGCCCATCCTAGCGACCCAAAATTTTCCGCTTGATCATTCCACAAAAGCTCTCAAAGAGGACAGAATCAGTCCCCCTTGTCCACCTGATTCTCACCTTTACACTTTGGTCTTCCTTCTCCTTTACGCCAACCCGAAAGCCTAATACAATTCCTTTACTAACCCCCTCCATCTCCAATCCCCTAGCTTTCGCCCTTCGGGCAGCCCTTGACCATACATTTCCCTTCACGGTTCCCCACCCTGCACTCACCGATGAATCCCAAACCCACTCCCCGGGCCCAAGCCCAACCTCCCCGGCAAGTGTGTTATCGGTAACCTCACCAACACTGATTACATCCCCTGCAGCATCGAATTCGAACTCGGTGGGAAACGGCATCAACCCTCTCAACTGTGAGCTTTCATAGCGCGCAGCAGCCAGACAAGGCCTCCTATCACCAAAGCTCCATGCAACTCCCCACCGCCGCGTAGAGCCCTGCTTGAATTCGGTGATTGCGTAGTTTTGTGTATGCAACTTTATTTCCGGTACGAGTGATTCCACGGAACTACGCTTCCCAAGCATGCTGGTGTACCAGGTGTTTTTGAAGCCGAGAATTGAGCAGAATTGGAGGGATTGGTTGAGCATTAAGGCTACGAAGGAGGTTTCGCCGCCGGGACAGACCATTTCGGTGGTGGTGCCAGTGCAGGCCTAGGGACATTAGCTACGGAGGGTCAGCGGGAAGTGCGGGCGGTTGAGGAGGTACCGATGAGGGTGGTAAGTCTTTTTGCCTAGCAGAGTCGAGCATGTCGTCTATGGAGGCGTAAAACGGAGGGTTACACATTGTGAAATCAAGCCTGGGTTACCCATTATTAGCATACCACACACTTGTTCACGAGCAAGGCAACAATACATCTCAATCCCCAATTTCCCGACCGGGAAGATATCATCATCAGGAGAATTATCCAAAACCATGATCCTCTCATCTAAGTCTCCGACCTTCTCCTTATTCCTCCTGACATTCTCCCTAGCATACTCAAGTGACTTCCCGTCGATGTCTAACCCGTCAGCCAGAAATACACACGCTCCCACGCTCGCCAAACCCCCAAGAACTATCAGACGCGCAAACCTGTAGCAATAAACTTCCAACCATCTCGTAACGCACACCCAAGGAGCGGGTATATACAACTCGCACCAGTGCCCCTATTACACACAATTCAGCGCGCTCGTAGGGCCTCGAGAAGCGAGAATAGCGTACACATCCAACCCCACAACCTCGCGTGTGGAGTCAAACTCATCGTTCTCGAGATTACCAGTAGAATCGAGTAAATCTTGAATCCAAAGAACATAATTCAACCTAAACCTCCATTAAAACATTCAGCACAGGGCCCGCGTACGCCGTGCCATCAGAGCAGCGAAAATTCCAGACCTATTCGGCACAGTAGGGCACAGCCGGTCGCTCGGGAGCGCAAGGTTCAATCCAAAGTCTCGATGAAGAAGACATTTCGTAAGCTCCCTTGGAAGTATTAGTCCTTGTACAGCACCGGGAGCCATGAGAGCCGGTACACACTGAACGGCGTTCGGGTCTTTAAAGTTGATATTCGAGCTTGCATCTAGACTATTCACCCCATGCCTGAAGTTAGAGTGGAGAATTACATCGCGTTACATTACTGGGGTCATAAAACCAAGCATACTGTCTCGCCAGGGAAGGATAATCCCTCGATAACCGTCCAAAGTCGACAAACTCTCGGTAGATGCTGCGGGGGTGCATGCCGTAATGTACTCGTATCATGCACTGGTGAATATAAAGCTTGTGTGTGTGGTTGTGAGGACCCTGGCGTGGAGCCGACCAAAAGTGCTAAAATGACCTTGAAACAAAGCTTAAACCACAAAATCTCACTCTAAAATCGCGGCTCAAATTATGGTCTCGGGCACCTGCACAACCCCGCCATAGGCTGCTTGACTACCGGTACTAGATAGAGTATGAGTACTCAAGTACGAGTGCGGCCGATAGATATATTCGTCACGTGGGTCTGATAAGAGATTTTTGGCGAGGGTTTCCCATCAAAAGCTCTTTCACTGGACCCACATGACGAATATATCTATCGACCGCACTCGTAGTGTATGACACGCACAAGGAAATTTTCAACCATGTCCGCCACAACTACATTCTCGAAACTGCCATTATTCTCAAGACTACGGCAAGGTTTGCCTAAGCCACCTGGGAGCCGATGTTTGAATACGGTGGCTGGAAGACCAGAGCGGCCGCTCCATATGGCGGTGATAGGAGCTGGGCCGGCCGGATTTTACACAGCGTACCGGGTCCTGAGCAAGCTTGCCAATGCGAAGGTAGACATGTACGAGTCATTACCAGTGCCGTACGGGCTTGTTAGGTTCGGCGTTGCACCAGATCATCCTGAAGTCAAGGTTCCCTCTTCCCCTCCCTAGCTTCCACCCACCACCGCCACCAATCACTCACACTTGCAAAACAAAAACGCCCCAGAACTGTCAAGACAAATTCAACCAAGTAGCCCAAGACCCGCGCTTCACGTACATCGGCAACACCCCGATCGGCACATCCTGGCCACACCCGCCGCACCGCAGCCTCCCGCTAGCCGTTTTAGGCCCGCACTACGACGCCCTCCTCCTCTCCTACGGTGCCTCCAAAGACCGCAAACTCGCCATCCCCGGCGAGGACACGTTAGCGGGCGTGCACTCCGCCCGGGCGTTCGTCGGCTGGTACAACGGCCTCCCAGAGTATCGACATCTGAAACTGGACCTGCACCTGGCGGAGGAAGCGACGGTGATCGGACAAGGCAATGTTGCGCTGGACGTGGCGAGGATGTTGCTCTCCCGACCGGGCGATCTGGGAACGACGGATATCACCGAGTATGCTATTGAGGAGCTGAGAAGGAGCAGGGTTAGGCGGGTGAGAGTTGTGGGCAGGAGGGGACTATTGCAGGCGGCGTTTACCGTGAAGGAGCTGAGGGAGCTGTTATCTCTGCAGGGAGTCGGGTTTCACCCCGTGCATGCCCCGCTACTTCCCGAGGATCCGGGTTCTTTCCCGAGAGCGCAGAAGCGCATCATGCAGGTTCTACAGAAAGGCCCGAAGACAAAGCTGACTGACGCGGAGAAGTTGTGGGAGCTATGCTTCCTACGCTCGCCAAAGGCGTTTATCCCATCAGCGAGCGGCTCAGCTCGCATTGGAGCGATAGAGTTCGAAAAGAATAGACTAGAGGAACCGATGTTCTCGCCCAATTCCAGCGCTATCGGCACGGGCGAGACGGAAATGCTCCCCACCAATCTGGCATTCAGGAGCATCGGCTATCTGAGCGAACGAATCCCCGGGTTCGAAGACCTCGGCATCCCCTTCAACGAGAAGCGTGGGTTAGTCCCCAATGAGGATGGCCGCGTCGTTAAACCCCTTGACCCAAAAGCTGGGGATCCGGTCATCCCCGTACCCGGAATCTACGCCAGCGGATGGGTCAAACGCGGGCCTACGGGTGTCATTGCTAGCACCATGTACGACGCCTTTGACACCGGCGATAGGATCGTCAGTGACTGGACGGGTGGGGAAGTGGAGTTTATGAGGTTCGGTGGGGAAGAGAAGAAGTTTGGCTGGGAAGCTGTTAGGCATGAAGTTTCAAGTCGGGGGATGAAGTCCATAAGCTGGGCACAATGGATGAAGATTGACGAGGCGGAGAAGGAGCGTGGGAAGAGGTTTGGGAAGGAGAGAGAGAAGTTTACGAGTGAGGAGGAGATGCTTGCCGTTTTGGAGTAACGGGGGGTAGTAACTGTATATGAATTATGGGAAATCATAGACACAAAGAGGGAACGGGTATAATGCGTGTGCTCTGGAGCTCGCCGGATATCATTTATCGCACGCCACAATACCAAGATTTTATCTGAATATTCACCTGTACAAAATCCCATCAACCATCTCTGCAATTGCTAACGAAGAAGTAAGTCCTATTCAACAATCAGCATCCGCTCTCTCTAGAGAATTATAGATGAATAGATGCGCGAAACCCACCAGGACTCTCAATCCCTAGTAGATTCACAAATCCACCATACCCCTCCTCCTCCCGAATGATAAAGTCCACCTGCCCAACCCCACCCTTTCCTTCAGGCACCAGCTTGGGCCTCATCCCACAATAATCCGGTGCGAGCGCAGCCTCACGCAGCCCGGGCAAATAAGTCTTTATAGCAGCAATCGCCGCGGCCACCCTACTCCCGTTGGGTTTCAGGTCGCTCGGCTCCGACACCCACTCCACGTCGGGCCCGAACCTGACACGCCCGGCCATATCAACGGTCAGATGGGTGCCGAGCCCGGCGAAGCCTTTGATCGGCGTGGGGTACAGCAAAGTCCTGACTTTGGGCGTGGGAGCAGAGTAGGAGAAGTACGTTCCCTTGCAAAAGTAAGCCTGCAATAGCCTCTCCGGGTGGCTCCGCAAAATCATATTTGAGATGTCAATGGCGGACAGGCCCGCTGCATTAACCAATACATCCGCAGAAATACTAAACTCCCCACCACCACCGCCCTGCCCACAATAATCCACGGCAACCCTATACCCCATATCCCCGCCGGATCCAATCGTCTGGACGTCGACCACCCGCGCGCCCTTAGCAAAGTCACCGCCGGCACTCTCGAAATCGCCGTGCAGGAACGTCATCAGCGCGTGCGAGTCTACTATGCCAGTCAGCGGTGACTCGAGAACTCCGGCTTCCGCCCGGACGGCGGGTTCCCGCGAGCGCGCTTGCTCGGACGTAAGCCATGTCATAGGGATGGAGAGAGCGCGGGCGTGAGCATGCAAGCGCTCGAGGGATTCGAGTTGGCTGGAGTCTTGCGCTAGTATCCATTTGCCGGTCCGCCGGTAGGGGATGTGGTACTTTTCGCAGAGGGCGTAGAGAAGGGCGCTGCCGGTCTTACAGAGCGTGGTTTTGTGGCTGTTGGGTGGGTAGTAGAGGCCCGCGTGGATCACCTAGAGATTGATTAGTAGGGGGAGGAGGGAGGGAGGGAGGAAAGACCTCGGAATTCCTGGACGAAGTCTCTGTACCAATTGCTTTGTGTCGCTCAAGTAATAACGTACTTGTTCCTGGCCTTTTGGATAATTGTCTGGCGACAGCTAAGCCCACAACTCCCGCTCCTATGACCTATATATATATATTTCCCCACCCCCAAACTCAAAAGTTAGCCAAGCCCCAGAACCTTTTTTATCACTATATCTTTCTTCCTCTGCTTACACAATGCGTAAAATCATTCCTAGAAGGTATCTCCCCCGCCCCCGCCCCCACCCCCGCCGTAGATGTAAAAAGCCTCCTTGATGTCCTAAGAAACATTTTTACCTAAAATACCGGTTCTCAACTCTTTTCTTTTTATAATACGAGTAGTAGTACACCTTTACCACGCGGTGCAGGTGTGATGGGAAAGGAAGGAAGGAAGGGAGAACCGCTGGTTCCCGGAAACTCGGTTGTTGTCGTTTTGAGCACGGTAGTCGATCAGTCTTGACCTGTGGCGCGGAGAGCCCCTCTTCTGGTAAGGTGCCAAAAGGGGCATTGTTACTGATATGATAAGAGCTGTGGAAAAGGAGCAGCCTTGAATACATGACTGATACTCATTAGCATGCGTCCCGTACTCGAGTAGGCAGTCCACTTGTTTTGCTTTGGTCGTACCCCAATCTGTGCCACGGCTGCTTCCATTCCTAACAATGGAAAAATGGGCAGACCGGTAAATTTACCAATCCCGGCGGCTGCAGGTTGCCGGCTGTTGCTGTTGTGAGAATATTGGATAGAACGATGATACGAGATGTGAAGAAGTGATCGATTGCTTGAGAAACTTGAATGCTTAACACTTTCAAAGGGAAGAGCTGAAGACCCTGACTATCTACTGTTTTGGAGCAAGACAAATAGCTTGAGCGAACAATAACAATAATAGAGAAAAGAGGTGTGTGAGAAAGGCAAGGAGGTACCTTCAATAATCCAGGAGGTCTAGATGCGCCATCAGGTTTGGTGCAAGGAGAAAGTATCAGTAGTAGGAGTAACACTACAGTAGTGCGAGAAGTATGTTTCAACAGTTGCAGTCACTGCAGTGCGAGTGATGGAGGATGATACCGTCTGAGAAGGTAATAATCCAATTTCGTGTTCAGGTTTCTCCTCCTCCCTCTCTGCACGATAGATAACATCCCGGAGAGCAGGGGCTACCACACTAACATAATGTAGAGACCGTGAGAACGAATTATCAGCTAACACGCAAGGCGATATACAAATTTACGAAACCAACAATCCAGCTACTATATATACGAGTCTGCACGGTACTTAGAAGTCTAATTCCCCGCAATGGCATTACCACAATAGCATAATTGCCTCCCCTAGCGATGGCATATCTGCCACCGCCGGGCGGCAGATATGAGCTATCTTGACGGTTCCCCGAGGGCCACCTCGGCGCGGGGATCTGGCTCCTGCGTCGGTTTGAGAACCCTCTTGAGGCCCGGTGCGGATACCCGGTAGCTTCCTCTGTGCTGGTATTATGGGAACGCAAATTCGAGCAGTGTATGGCTAACGGTACGCGTTGATTAGTGGAGCTGGTGAGAATTGGAAGGTTGTGTAATGGGGAGTTTTGATGGCGATTGGAGGGTCATCAGCCATCTTACTTGGGTGACGAAAGTTACATAAGCTCCTATCGCTTGTTGAGGCCTGGTCGGCGATACAAGGATAAATAAATTTATTGAATATCGCTATGGGACGATGGCAGCACACGGCTTCTTCCATGCTCTCCCAGAACAATATTATACACGTACCAGTATGACAATGGCAATAGCAAGCTGGCAACCACAAACACGTTTGTTGTGTACTTTCGTTGAATTACAAGTGAAACAAAATGGAGGAGAGAAGGGGTGTTTATCGTTATTTTCTACTAAAAATAAACATCAATCGGGACCACTATAACTAAGCAAAAGCAAATCACAGAAGGCCGGAAAGAAGAAGAAAGCACGGAAAACAGGAACACCGCTGTGGATAGATAAATGTTGGAGGGGCGGAATGGGGAAAGGCCGGAATAAAGAAGAGACAGGAATGAAAATACAAATAGACTCAGCGGGATAATAAATGAAGACGGTAGTAACAGTCCTGCATCCCCCCCCCTCATCGCGCACTTAAGAAGTAGTGCCACCCGGCGACGCAACATCGCTCCCAGCGGTCGACGACTTGGAGCTAAGTTCCGAAACCTGTCTTTCAAGCTCTCTAATCCTCCTCTTTAGCATTTCGTTCTCCCTCGTGAGCATCTGCGCCTCCGCAATGTAGAATCCCATGTCACTGTGTGAGGATCCGAGCCAGGGAACACTGGCAGAAGTATCACTAGCATTATCCGGAATGAAGCTTCCAGTCGGAAAACTAGGACTGGAAGTCGAAGTAGCCGTAGAAGTCCTGGAGCCTGACCTTCTCCTCCTACCCCTACTCGCAGAAGTAGTTGAATTCTCCCGGGATAAGCGTCCGCTACGGCTATATGCTGAGACTGGTGACAAGGCTCGCCCACTACCCACGGCGGCGCCGAGAGTAGAGTTCGAATCAACGGTTGCAGCGGTGGAGCAGTTGTCATCAATGACGCTACCGCCCGAACCTTGGTTCTGAGACTGCTGCTGGAGTTGCTGCAGGCGGATCATGTTTAGCAATCTATTGACCTGCGCTTCTTGCTCCGTCTCGAGCTCTTGGTGGAGTTCTGCGAAGGCAGCAGCATCCTGAGGGGTTGGTTGACGGGGCAGACGCTGCGGGAGGGATTGATCGACTGAGGATGGTGAGAGAATTGAGGAAGAGGGGCGACGAGATGACGAAGAACCGATTGAGAGGGAGGATGAGGGGCGGCGGGAGGAGATTGATGGGTGGTGCTGAGGGGGGTAATGGTGGAGGTTCGAAGAGGAGGCACGGGGGGAAGGAGTGGTTGGGCGGGAGGTTTGGAAGATTGGGGAGGGGAGGGGAGAATGGGCTTCCGTGGAGGTGCGGGGCATTATAGTTGTGGTTGTGGTTGCGGTTGCCGGTCCGGCGGCAGTTGCGGAAGGAGGGGCAGGGGTGGTGGTGGTGGTGGTGAATTGTACGGTGAGAGGTGAGGCGTTAGTAGTAGTGGTAGTACCTGCTACAGCTTCGAGTTTGTTGACATCTGGCATCTCTTCTGAGTTTGTTGTTGTATCTTTTTTCTTCTTTTTTTCGGAGCTCGTAGAGGTTGTTGCGGAAGCTTGGGGGGAAGAAAAGGAAGCAGGTGGTGGTGGTAGAGAAGGAGACAGGCACGGTAGGTAAACCAAGCAGGTGCGGTAGATCCTGGAACTTGGGTATCGTATCAGATCAGATAAGGGTGAGGTACGATAGTAACTGCGAGCAAGCACTCCGTTACAATACCAGTACCGGTAACAGCCTCAACCCCACTCAGCCCATCGGATGTGGAACTGCAGTCTGGGGACTATCATCAAGATTTTCGAAAGCAGATGGAAACAAAACAGAATACTATAGAAATACAATTATAGTAACACTCCAGCGGATCAATCGGGTTCACTCCACCCACAAAAAGGGCAACCGCAGCAGATCTCGTCCACTGAACACTTACCAATACGGGTACAGTATCCCTACCCGTGTGGGCATATGTAAATTTAAAGGTTGGGGACAGACTTTGCGTGCGAGTACTATTGGTACAAGTACCATAACACCGTCTTGGCAACAGAATGCACACTTCCGGAGTGGTCGCAAGCTGCCGGTATGGGACCGAATGTCCTGATTTTCCGAGATTTGAATCTTTTAATGTTTGGCCAGGGTATGATAATATAGATTTACTGCATATCGTTATGGCAAAACCGACCACCGGTACATACTACGAGTACAGTACACGCAAGGAAGGGCTCGCAATTTTGACCAAAAATGCCTTTTTAGACGCCCAAAATGACTCCCCCCTGCCCTCCTTCCTTCCTCTTCCTTCTCCTTCTTCCTCCTCGCTCCCCCGGATCTGCACTTTCTGCTATGCTCGAGTACCGGTATGCATGTGCCCTTGCCATAAGGGGCGGGAGTATTGGTACTCAAGTAACCTAGACTAGCTCCTCGTCCCAATAGTGAGAAGGTTAATGTTTTATTTCACGGTGCAGGAGTTGTGCATGAGGCGGTTGAAGAGAAGGAACAAAAATTGGAGAAGGAATGCAAAAGAAAGAGGAAGTGTGAGAGGGGGGAGGCACAAAATTTTGGCCTTCAACGGTTTATGTTTAACCCCTCAAGGTTCAGGAGAAATGGGATTTACGGATTGGGCATTGTCGATTCAACCAGCCCATGGCAAGCACGGATGGACAAAGGGGGGTTTTCTCTTCTCTTCTCTTTTTTTCTTTTTCTTTTCTGTGCACAATCAAACGGTATTAATCTCAACGACTATTTCGGCAGCTAGAAACACTTTGCAGTAGATTACAGTACGGTTCCATGCATGGATGGTTGAATATCGAATATCAGAATTTGATGCCCATCAAGCTTATTGCGGTCTAGTTTACATTGAAGTGCGATGGGATAAGATAATGTACAGTACTTTGCAGATTGCGTCGCTGTAATCTTACTCCGAAATAAAAGATATCATACTCGAGTAAAAGAAAGTTGCCGCTCTGGTGCTCGTGGCTGGCGAGCAAGAAATATCCGAAAATAGGGGTGGTGAATTTGCATGGGCGCTCGCACAGACACAGATCTTTCGCCATACTGTATATACATATCCTGCAAATTCTCATTTTCGGGCACCGGTACTTCTCACCTGGTATGAGTATCGGTATGTGTAGAATACCGGTATGATACTCTCTCTCTTTTTACCCCATAACTCTAACTTCTTCTCCATGGTACTCTCCCACTTACCTTGCATAAAATAGAGGGTTGCGAAAGTCTCGCGTTATGTTGCGTTCGATTGACTCTTTTTTTTCTATTTTTTTCTCTTTTTTTCTTTTTTTCCTCTTTAAATACCGTACAGGCCCTAAGTACTCGTACCGTACCGGTACTTGTGCCACAGGACATGCGGTAAGGCTGGGGGGGGTTTCTCAGGACGACACCTTTTGGAAAAGCGCAAAACCACGGGGAATATCATAAGAAGCCACGAGCGGCGGGCACTACGGCCGGCAGCCACCATGAAACACCGGCCACGCCACACTTGAACCACGTTGGTACCGGTATCCACATGAGCCCATCTTGGGTCCCCGCTTGCTTGCGAGGGCGAACGAGAGAGCTTTTCGGGTAAAACGTTGTACGAGTACGGTACTCGAGTACGGTACCGGAAAGCAAGAAGGATGGTGACGGATGGTGTGCCGTGCAACTGGGAACTTTGAACAGGGGTTTGGCCCCCGCCGTTGCTGCTCGAGCGCTAGAGTGGGTTATATGCGGCCAGCCATATTTCCCCTAACGGGAAGAGTTGAGAAGTTCAGACCGACAGGAGTTGGTATCATACCAGGGATCTCAACTCGATCATGCACGTCCCGTTGTATTTACCGGTATTTTACACACCTTTTTTCTTTCTTTCTTTCTTTTTTCTTTTTTCCTTTCCTTTTCTTTTTCTGTATTTTGGCCATTTTGTGGTGGTGGGCGTTCATGTTCCTGCTTTTTTATTTTTCCTTTTTCCTTTCCTTTCCTGTTCCTGTGGCTCAGGGCTGTTTTGGTGGTTGCATGGGACGAGCTCCAGCACGACTGAGCTCCAAGCGCGGAGTACGCGAGGGCAAGAGAAAATACTTGTAAAGGTGTCATAATTGCTTGAGACTGGGTCATAAACTACCATAGCTCACTGCTCGAGCACGATGTAGCGAGCGGGCCCACTGCCTTCCCACCACAACGGGACGAAATGCTGAAATATCATACTATACCGATACGGTAGTGGAGAGAGCGAGAAACTAGTGCCATGTGGGCCAATGGACCATACTGTAGGCATCGTCCACCCCCCCCCCCGGCGGTGCTGTGCATTGTTTTGCCGGTAGTGGACGCAGAAACAGGACCAGGCTTCGAAAGCAGAAACGTGGGATATTTAAGAATGGGAAACAGTGAGCATCCGATCCGCCAACTGAATTGGTTCTAATTGAGAAACAAAATAAACCAAACAATCTTGTCCACTAGAACAAAACCTTTCCGGTGTGCATCTCCTCTCACGGAATTCTGTTTTTCGTCCTCCTGTCCAATATCAACAATTGGGCAGGTACATACGATCGTGCGACACCAGTACTGGCCAAATCAATTCTAATACTAGCCGGGCTTTTCCTTTCTCAATACTCGTACGCAGTACTCGGTATCATCATAATACTCTTCATCACCTTCTAACCGCATCACCCCATCAGACATCTCTGTTGGTGGGGGAGTCCTTGCTGCCATGGCTACCCCCCCCGACAAAACCGTTCGGGGATTCTTCGCTCCTCCTCCTCCACCCCAGCCTGACCGTTCAGCTTAGGCCAGCCCCCCTTTCACTACCGGTACTCCCCAAAACATCACCTCCGTCTTTTCTTTCTTTTTTATCTTATTTTATTTTATTTTAGTTTTTGCTTTTTTTACTTCTTTTGTTTTATTTCTCTATTTTTTTTTTGCTCTCTCATCCACTCCATTTCTCCCCTTGCTCGTCCTTTACACCCACACTCGAGTACAGTAGAAGACCCCCTTCATCCCCCCCTCCTTCCCTTCTTGTTCTTGCTTCTGACTTCATTCATGTCCTTGTCAATCCTTACTCGCAGCCTCCATTGTCTTTCACTCTTTTGATTTCTTGCTTTCCTCTTGTCCAGGGTTCCTGCACATACCGGTACATCCCCTTCCTCTTCCTTTATCCGACACTCCGGAATCGAGTGCTCTGTTACCTCTCCGACTTCTGCATTCCCGGTTGGATGCCCGATGTTCGAACGTGGCAATGGATCGAAATCTGCGGGAACCAGCGCGCATGTACCGGTACCGGTAGTCGATGGCTCACCACCACCACCAACCCGCACATATTTCATGGCTACCCCTCCGCTGGCCCCTCTAGTTGGGGGCTTTGAGGATTCCAGGGTTCTAAATACCCCAAGGCAGCAGAAGGGTTTCTTTTCGCTATTCTCGCGTTTTGGTGGGAAAAGCAAGTCTCTATCTAATATCATCACAAAGCCTGAAGCATTCACCAAACCTGTTGAAAGTAGTAGACCCTCCGTCCCAAGTACGCCGGTTACACCCTCAATGAAGCGTTCTTTATCTATTCCGGTATTTAACACTTGCGCAACAAGCGATCACTCTCCTTCTTCACCTTCTCGGAAATCATGGGAGCCTGTTCCTCTTAGCGAGGCCTTCACCCAAGCTATCCGAATGGCTTCCCTCTCGGCCTCCTCTCTCTCAATGGAAACACTGATCAGGCGAAACTCTGAGCGTGGCAAGAACCCAAAAGACAGGCGTGGTCGCATTCTGCACCGAAGCCATGCTTCTACCAGGTCCGTAGATTTGGATTGGACACGCAAGACTTTTGTGCTGATCGAGGGATTTCTCCTTCAATATGCTGGGGATGGCCCTCACGATCGAAGCCCAGAGAAGACGCTACAGCTAACTTCAACCTCCATCGCATTTGCGAGCGATGTAATTCCTGGTAGGCCTTGGGTATTGCAGGTTTACCGGAGCGCTGGTCCTGATGGTAGCTTATTGCCTGAACGAAAAGGTTCTTTCTTGTCTAAAATTGCATTCAAGGGTCCTGCAAAGAATACTGCAGTGTCTCTCTTGTTAGTTTTTGATGGAGCGGAGGAAATGGATGCTTGGATGGGGTGTATAAGGGCCGAAGCTAGCAGGCTTGGGGAAGGAAATGTGAATAAGCCGGTGAGCGAAGTCGTCAGCGGTATACGGGAGGAGGAAGAAGGTGAAGAGCAGGATGACCCTCGCCACTCTAGGAGATTTGTTATAGATCGCGCGGTGGGCTCGGTTGGGGGCGGGACTGTATCAGACGAAAATACCTCGAAACGGGCTTCCACGTATTATCGGTCTTCCTTAGATGCGGGGAGATCGTTTACGACGACAGTGTCCGGGGATCACATTCTCTTGGAACATCTTCGTGGGTCTAGGCTTTCTTCTCTCAGCTCTACCTGTGGTGCCAGGGTTCCCACTGTTTCCCCAGACACGAGTCCCGAAAGGTCCTCGACACGAAACAAGCGATCCTCTGTGGCACTGTCGGCTCGATCACGCTCATCAATGGATCTAAAACCACCTTCCCAGAGGCCACTGTCAGTCATGGACCGTGATGGTAATCTATACTGGATCCCACGGACACCTTCACCATCCGCTCCCAATTTTTCACTCCCTATTCCTCTTTCTAATGGCCACCCCCAGCTGGGAAGCAGACGTTCGACTTTCTCGGCGATCCCCCCTGGAGCAATTTCTCCGATGCCTACCCCACCCATTTCCACTCGGCCAAGTTTATCTGCGGTGTCCACGGTCGGCGTCCTTTCTGAAATATCATACCCACGTACGCGACCACGCCAATCCCAGTCCAACCCCCCATCTCCATCTGTAATTGTATCACCAAAGGCAAAATCGACCCCTATACCCGCGAGGCCACAGCGCCCAGTGTCCATGTTTGATTCTCGGTCCCCGCCGCCTTCCGAGGTACAAAATCTCTCAAAATCTCCATCAATCAAGAAGCACCATCTGCAAGCTGGAATTGCGGTACCACCCCGGACCAAGTCCCTCCGCAGAAAATCCATGACTGCCATTGGGCCATCTGGGACCGGAGCTGCGGGACCACCGCTACACCCACCTCCCTCCATTCCTCTACCTAGATTGCCACCTAGTGAGGATGACTCCAACTCTGTGTACACTTCTTCCATGCCTTCGCCACATCATCGAAAACTTCCGCCACCGCCTGGTCCTAGCCCCCCAAAGACTTGCTCTTTGGGGAACAGGCATTCATTTCATGGTGTTCGCCGAGAGAAATACGTTTAATGTCCTAACTTTTATGTCACGTTTGTTTTTTCTGCATTTCGTTTGTTCATTCCATTTATTGCAGCATCCTACCTATACGGACTTTGGGGCCCTGATACACGTGAGGAGCTTCTTTTGTCTCGGGCCCGGCTCCTGCCGGACCAAAATCCTTTACTTATGAGTCGCTCTTTGATACAAGTTTTTTTTTTTTTTTCAAGGCTATCGCTCGCATCGTCTATCTCCTCGCGGCTTGGCGCTGTTTTTCCGTTTTACTTTCTTTGGGGCAGGGATGGAATGGTTATACCCGGTTTGTTCACTTCGCTTTTTTTTTTTCTTTTCATTTTCTTTATTTATGGGTGTTTCTTGTTCGGGCGAGGGGCAAATCTGTAACATTAGTTGGTCCGGCGGATGGGTCATGGGAGGAGGGGAATGGGTTGGGAGGGAAGATGCAATCATCCGTTGAAAAAAGTTTGCTTCTGTGGGTTGGAACTCTGGCTTTCCTTTTCCTTTTCTTTTTCGTTTTGTTCGGGGTCGCTTTTATTTGTCTTTTTATGGCCTCTGGACTGAGTGAGTGAGCTCACAGGCAGGCGGTGGAGTTGGTGGTGGCGGTGATACCGAAAGGTGCGGGGTTAGTGAGTGAGTGAGTCGACGAGTTTTTTAGATTTGGCTAGCAGTACTGTATTTTTAATGAGGTTATGCTTGGAGGGGGGGTGAGAGGGTGAGAAAGAAGAAAGTATTTTAATGCACTTGTAGATGTACTCGAGTACCGGTATACAAGTATGATAATATCTTATTCGAAGAAACCCCCAATAATATGATACTCGAGCATTACCCGTACTCGTACAGGAGCATGCATTGCACTCGAGGATCCACACCTCTGCACGACATTTTGGTAAGGTGGGATCTGATAGGCTCGGTCGTAATATCATATTATGCACATCCTGCGATTTAATTTTTTCTCTTTCTCGTTCGACGGATGTCAGACGCAGGTACCATCATCTTGGATTACAGGCTTCCTTCCTTTTGCCGAGAGCGCTGGCATGGGTACGCATGTAGACTATCGTATTTGGTGTGCGTGGTGTGTGTGTGGGGGGATGCCGTATCACTTGATCCTTTCCACTGGGATGATAAGCTATCGTGCTGAGCTTGCTATGTTGGCTTTTTAAAATAATAATAATAATGATAATAATATCATAATAAGAGAGAGAAAACGCTCTGGAGGCACAGTTGCGAAGGATAGCCATAGGTGGTGGGCTATTAACTTATTGCAAGCCTGCTATCCTGTGCCGGTACTGGTATGGTGGCCTGTGTTTAGACTGGGTATCTGGAGCTTGGAAGGGATGATATGTAGGGGCGCTATGATAGCTGGACACGATAGGGTTCGCGCAGCCATACCCTGCTATTGCACCAGTTTGGTGACAGAATTCGTGGCTCCCCCCGCCTCCCATTTCACCACCAACAATGGGTACGAGTACAGTATTCTCACATTGCGAAAACTTCAGCCCCATCGCTTTGCAAAAAAAAAAAAAAGGGTACGATACTTGAATTACAGTTTTATACGAGCTTGCCGTGCCGTATGGAGAGTACTGTACTAGTACATTTGCGACAGTATCTAATCTAGACCCTGAGCTCTCAGTCGTCGCGGTGGAGTGGGAAAGTTCTCATGGCTTCTACCCAGGGAGTCTGGCCAATTATGATTCTGTACTCGTGTTGCTTTCGGATGAGTCGTGAGTGTTTAAAATCAGCCGTTTTTGGCGTACAGTACAGTACGAGTACTATACAGTACACCTGTGTTTGCACAGATATTGCTACAGGTACCGGTACTTTAGGTGCGGGGAACTATGGCGCTGTTCAGTATAGATACAGTAGTAGACTTGGTAACCAGTATCATACCGGGATCATAGTACAGTGTCATACTCTACGAGTAGCAAGGTACTCGTATGATACCTGTACTGTAGTCCACTCGGGATGCTGTATCATGATCGTAGCCCAACGGCACAAACTGCTGTAGTTTTTCATAGTCTTGATGTTGTAACTTTCACTTCTCACACATGTCATCATCCCGTGACTTTTGTGATAACTATTACGCATCCCTGCGGATCCCTGCGAATCAATCAAGCATGCTTTTCAATTTGCCGCCGCCACAGCGCCGGGTTTCGTTGCTGGACCGCTGACTTAAATTTACGTAGACTATCTGTGCTTGTTTGCTTGTTTGCTTATGATACCTGCCTGCTTGAGTTTTCTTGGCTGGGGGGGTTGAGTTCCTTGATACTGTACAGTATGAGTATGAATACCGGTAAATTACCTTACCAGGCTTACCCTGACCTAACCATAACCTTACTGTCACTCGCAGGGAGAAGTGCTGTTCAAAGCTTTTTTGACCCACGCCACTACCAACGTGTTAAACACGGGGAGGGATTTCACCACTTTAAAAAAAGCACATCAACGCATAACGGGGAAAGTCCGGGGGGGAGCATTTTGATTTTTTGCCCACAACTTGCTATTTGCTCCGCATGAGCGAGGAAATTCCCGCGCCGGAGGAGGAGGAGGAGGAGGAGGTGCTGATTGAGCAACCGGAGAATGTCGGTGGCCTCAGACTTGATCCGAATTCTTATACTGCGCATCGCCTGGTCTGTTCACCATTCCCTCCCTTCTCCGCCAGGGGGCTTGTGGACTTGGGGGTGAAAGCTGACTGACTGTGTATGGGTGAGTTTGTAGCATCATGCTACCCCTGAACACTTACATGTCACGACGCGACGGGTGTAAGTTTTACGTCCCTCTTCTCTTTCCTCCCCGCTCCCAGGGGCCCCTCTAACGGTGTTTAGCTTTATCGGGCCGATACCTATAGGTTGGTTAAAGAACCACCGGTCAGAGTGGTATGGGCACCATCGTCTCGGCGTGTTTGGGGCGGGAGAAAACCCGACTTTCTCTGCCGCGGAGGATGGCTGCGGGGAACCAATGCTTGGGGGTTTGATACGGCGGGACACGAGCGATTGGCGGACCGAGGGGGACGGGGGGGAGGGTTCTGGAGCTGTCAATGGCGTCCTCAGGACCCCCGCCCCCCTCCCGATACCGCGGTCTGATACAATGACCAACGAATCGCAGGGGAGGAAAGGCAAAGGAAGGGCTACCAATACGGATGGGACTCGACAGCGACCTACGTCTCGGGGATCACGCAAACGCTTGAAACCCGCAGACCTGAATCGGGGGGAGTCGTTTGCGACGGCCAATGAATCTTGGGACTCTGCCGAAGAGGCACAACTCCTCGGGGAGCAGGAACAGGAAGATGAAGAGGGTGAGAATGCCCCGCAAATGCGGAGCATAGAGGGTTTGCACGTTGAGACGGACTTGGAAGGGTTTCCTGAAGATCTTGTAAGTCAAGAGCCAGTTCCTCTTAGCGCCGGCAGCGACGTAGCAGCAAGTTCAGTTTCGCCGGCTCGATCTCTGGAGGCATCTAATTCACTGGCATCTCTATTGAAGCACGATGCACAGGCTCGAGAAAGATTATCGAGACAAGCGTCCTCCCGAGGGCGCACCCCGCCGCCGGAACGCAAGCTATCGGGCAGGAGACTCGGAATTCTCTCGAGAACCCGGGGCTCACGATCGCTAAAGAAGAATGCTACCGGCGGTTCTCCGCCCCCGCCTCCCCCGCCTCCCCCGCCCGCCCAACGTGTCGTTACCAATAAGGAACGAGTTGCGGCAGGTCTAGTGCGCTTTAATACAGCTGTAGATGTCCGTGAGAGGGATAGGGAGATGCAGATGAAGCTTGCTGATCTCAGTCGGAGCAGGACATTCCGTCATATGGGGCGATATCATCACCATTTCCGGAAACGGGAAGGTGAGATCGTCAAGATGGAGAATATGCTTGTCCGGGTGGAAATATCCGCTGCGCCCGTGCCTGGGGAATACGACGAGAATGAAAGCATGAAAATTGTCACTCATTTAAGGGAGAAATGGCGGGAATTCGTCGTGGTCTGTCGGCAGACCGGGGAGAAGGAGACCCCATTGGCCTTGCTACTTTACAAGAAGAGGGTTATTCCGGCCATTGATAGGCCCAGGGTCTCCTCCCATGGGGTGATGGAGATACCGCTTAATCCGAAAATTACCAAAGTCAATCTTTACTCGACTTTGGACAAGACGCTGGTTGTTTGGTTGCCATACAAGCAGGGGTCGATCATTTATATTATGCGACCTCGCTGCAGTTCTTCATCTGTGGAGTGGTATACATTTCTTCAGGGAGCACTAGGCTGGAATAGCCCGGACAAACTGCTTATATGCGTCCCGGACTTGTCTCTGTCAATCACGGTTGACAAGCCTTTTGCGCGAGTGCAGCAAAAATTGGAGGAAGATTCAGATGATGAGGCACCAATAAGGGAGGAAAGGGCTGTCGCTAAGAACTTGCTGAACAGAAGTATGCAACTGCTAGGAGGAGTCAAAGAATGGGGTGATATCATAGAACACTGGAAGCAGAGTGAGCGTATGGGGCTAGCGTGGAGGCGTTACGATCGCTTGGAGTGGGTCCATGGAGTAGGGTGATTTGCAGGAATGATTGTTTGATATGGTTGCTAATATGGGTATAGGTGAATGAGCACAGGATGTACGGAACCATGGCTATGCAGAAGGTTTAACTATTTTCTTAGTCATGGCTTGTCACCCTTTACTAATTTTTTGAGTATGATAGACACATGAGCTGGAGATACGACCTAAGACTCATTATCCAACTGCAATCAGAGTTGATGGTGAGGAAATGACGGAACCTGCTCCGGTTGAAGGGTTCCTGCTCCGGTTGACGTCTGGAAGGGGCCGCCAGGAGCGTCTTGGCGGGCCCTTTTATAAGCGCTTGTACTTCACTACTCACGACAACCTCCTTTGCTTTTGCAAGCCTGCGAGAGCATTGCCTCCGCCTCCACCAAAATTGCGAGTCAATACAGGGGTCATTCCAAAGCTTAGTGAAATCAAGGATGAAATCCCACTCATATACGCTGTAGCACCCTATGCCCCAGACGCGGACGGAGACATCGCCTGGATCACGAAGGGCACGGCAAAAGAGATTGGCGCCCGTGATAGAGATGCTTATGATGAAGGGGAGAGGAAGGTTAACACCCTACTTAGGGCTGAAGGGTTCATTGATCTATGCAAGATTGCCGAGGTATGCTACGCCAAGCGGCAGCTACGAGGCAAAGATGCTGGAATTGGTCACGGCGAATCGGCGGACTTTGACCGGTCTGTCCCGGATCCAAATCGTGGGGATGGGGCTGTCGGCGAGGTTAATGATGAGAAGGCCTTCGAACTTCTTCTTGATAATGGGCTGACCTTGAGGTTGCAGGTGGGTATTGTGCATAGCTGGGTAGTATGGGTGGGTGCTGACCGAGGCATAGAGTTATGATCAAAGGACCAGGGACGAGTGGATGACAAGGTTGAAGGATTTGGTCAAGTACTGGAGGGCGAGAGATAAGGAGGATTTGGCCACTATCAGAAGGACCCGGGATGCAAATTTGAAGCAGCTGAATTTGGATGAGGAGATGGAGTCAATTGTTGGGCAGTTTGCTAGGAAGTGGGAGGTATCTCGGTCGATCGCATCCGGGGAGATATTCAATGTCTGCGGACTGTCTTCTTGCAGGGCTATTACAGTAGGTCGAGTGGTGATCCCGTAGTACAAGGTGCAGCTGACACAGATCACAGATGTCCGGCGTCCTATATCGCAAACCCCGCCGCCACGCCACCTTCAACCGCTACAATGTAGTCCTCTGTCACGGCGAACTCCTAACCTTCCATAACACCTATCGTAGGAGCTCCGGAGCCGAGCTCCCGCACATTCACCAAGAACGCCATCTCTCACTCTCCCTCCGAGATTGCTACGTCTACTCGGGCCTGATAACGGAAGACGAACTCCTCTACCAAAACCAGACATTTGACTCCAACACCCCGGGCCGTCATGCACTTCCCCGAGTCTACCAGGACGGGATGACATCTCATGACGGGGATACAATGACTTGCTTCGTAATCTGGCATGGCATGAGGAGGAACATTTTCAAGACCAAGGATGACAGAGGTAAGACCGTTAGACATCGTGTGACGGCGCTGGGACAGACGGGGAAGTCGATTGTGTTCAAGGCGAGAAGCAGGCTGGAGAGGGACGCTTGGGTTATGAGTATTGGGATGGAGATTGAGAGGTTGAATGCCACAACACCGGAGGATATCCAGGTTACAGCTTGATTATGCATGCGTTCTCTAGGTGATTGGGATTTTAGTGCTTTCTTGCTTGTAGTTTTTTTTTGGGGGGTTTTCGAAGCATAGCGAATGGGTGTTTCCCTTCCTTTTTAGTGTAGCAGTTCTTTGTTCTTTTTTTCCTTTTCCCTCTCTTCGAGTATTTCAGTGGAGGCTTTTAGCCTTTTCCGCTCACGTTCTTAGCTTAGTGTAAATTAATAGTCTAATGAGGTCGGGTATAGCGTCTAATATTAATATTATACTTATCATACAAAAATAATTCATATTTACACCCTCCTCTTCCTCCGTGGAGTCGCTCAATCATCCTGGAACCCTGTACTTTAAAGCTCCAACCCTTCCCATATGATCTTCCTTGACCCTCCCGGCCCTTGACGGCGGCCAGACCACGTGAGTAACCTTTGCCTCGATCAGAGCTTTCGGAATCTATCCCCATCAGTCCCCACCATCTCAAAAACAAAAAAAAAAACGCAAGAGAGAGAAACAAAGAGGAAAAAAACCTACAGCCCCATAAACATTGCTATCAACCGACCAAAACCCCTCATCCCCCTCCACCCACACTTTCCCCGCACCGACCCTGACCGCCTCCCCAACCCTCCCGCCCGCCAACCCGCCACCCACCGGCCTGACAACGACCACATCCCCCTCAAGCCCGACAACCCTCTTCACAGCGACCCTCTCCGGATCCACCGGCGAGCGGTACAGGACCACCTGACCGCGCCGCAGACCCGCCGTAGCGTTGTGTCGCTGCGCCAGGATTATCATGTCGCGGGGGAGGGTTGGCGACATGCTTCTTCCGTGGATCCGGTGGAGGGAGTAGACGTGGTTTGTTATGAAGATTAGGATTGGCAGGGTTAGCGGGAGGGTTTTCAAGGTGGGGAGGAGGAGGGGGAGGGGCATGTTGGTTGTTGTTGATATCCGTTTTTTCTTTTCTTTTTCGTTTGTGGGTTTGTTTGTTTGTTTGTTGGTTGGTTGTTGTGGTGAGGGTGGGTGAGGTTGGGATAAGGTTTTTCTAAAGGTATCGTACTACCGGTAGTTGTGAGGCGCGGGGATGGAATGGGAATCATGGGATTGGATGGGATGGGGATGAGCCGTTTAACGGGTACGGTATGTACGAGCACGAGTATCATACCGGTGCGGGTAAGGTACAAGTATGATACGATACAAGTAAATATTTGTACCGTACAGTTGTCCTAGTACTCGAGTACATAAGGGCCTAGGCTAGGGGTTGGGGTTGACTTACTGATTGGGTTAGGTTTCTTAACATACTTGCAGGAGCAGTGTTTTATCAATTTGACGGTTTATGAGTGATTCAAGAATGTGATAATTATATCATAGTTCCACACATGATATTTTAATTTACTACGGTACTTGTACGAGGAATATAGTAAGACGTCCAAAAAACCCATATCAGCTAAACATGAAAATACACTATCAGGAATTCGAGATTCATAGACGCTAAGTTATCATGGGAAGGAAGAAAGAAAAACGCCGATCCATTTCACGTCTGTCTCCACAAAGCCTAGCACCGGTCCAACCCATCCATTGTGGCAAATGAGAAAGGGATAAAACTGGGGGCGGGGGTGAGAGCAAAAGTGGCGTTAATAGAGAGTTATCGAAAGGGAGGGGGAGTAGGAAAAAGCGTCAGCGAAAATCCGGCCCTTCTACCAGTACGAAAGACCTCCAACTTTGCGACATATTGAGGATTTTTTACAAGAAAAAGAAGAAAACGAAGGGGGAGAAGGAGGGAGGAGCAGGAGCAGGAGGGGGAGGAAGGGAAGCTCAATGCTGATAGGGTTCTCCGGTAGCTAGGACGAATTCGTCCCCCTGGTGATCAGGGGCGGAAGCCGTGTGCTAGTACTGTTGGTAGTAGTGGTAGCGATTCGGATCTTGAGGCCCGGGAGTTTCCCTGAACTTTGGTGATATCCGGAGGGCATCCTTGCGAAGTGCTGCAGCAGCGGACGACGAGGAAGCAGAGGAGGAGGAGGAGAAGGAGGAGGAGCCGGCCTTGACTTCACCGGGGGTTTTCCGCTCAGGTGACTTTCTGGGGTCTTCCTTGTCGCCTGCTGGGGGGAAGTAATTCCTGTAGTAACAGGATCAATTACCATACATCAAAGAGTATGGCAGAGGGTACTAACGGCAACAACTCGATATACGCAATCTCATCCTTACTCTCAAGCATGCAAAAGACCACCAATTGCAACCTCTTCCCCTCTGCTCCGCCCTCCTGCTCCTCCCTCTCCAAGAAGTCCCTAACAGTCGAAATTGCCACCTCTGCCGCCTCGTAACTCGGATACCCAAACACCCCCGCCGAAATGGCAGGAAAGGCAATCGCATCCAATCCGTTCTCCACCGCCAGCCTCAAAGAAGCCGCATAGCAACTCGCAAGCAGCGAGGCATGCTCGTTCGTCCTGCGCGCCTTCCAGTACACCGGCCCGACAGCGTGAATCACGTTCCGGCACGCCAAATCGTACGCATCCGTGATCTTTGCATCACCCGTCTCACACCCGTTTAGTGTCAGGCATTCTGCCAGCAGTCCGCATCCCGCGGCGTTGTGGATTGCACCGCAGATGCCGCCAGCGTTGAGGAGTGATGTGTTTGTGGTGTTCACGATTGCCCCGTTCGGGAGGGAGAGTTTGGTTATCTCGCTGCGGATCAGGCCCACTCTGGTGTTTAGGGTTGCGGAAGGGGTGTGCAGTGGGGGCTTGCTACTAGGTATTAGGCGCTTCGCGTGGTAGAGGATTGAGAGGCGGGGGATCTCGGATTGGGGGATGGACATTTTTATGGTTGGTTTTGTGGTTCGGGGGAGAATTGTTTTGTTTGGGGTTTTGTGGTTGTGGATTGATGTTTGGTGGCGGTGGGGTGATGGAAGGATGGAGGGACGGAAGGGTGGGGCGGGACGAGGGTTTATACAAGCCCAATCAGTCTCGTGACTACGACACTTCAATGAGAGGGGAGAGGAGGTGTGGTAGTGTTAGGGTATCCTAAAGGTAAAGTTGTTATCTTATCATATCATTATCGCGGGGAAAAATCCACAAACTGCAACTTGAAACCTGTCCTTAGCCTGGAGTTGTTTTATATGTTACTGTAATGAAGGGAGCGCTCGGCTCCCGGTATGATACCGTCACTGTCAAATGGACCCTGCATCCCCGTGTTATAGCCTACCGAAGGAATCCGGGGGAGGACAGAGAGAGGCTCTGACACCTATCGTACTCGAGTACAGTTGTTTGTGGGGCTGGGTTAGCATACCCGTCTATCTCTCTCAGGGTTATACAAGCACGGGTATGATACTGCACTGCGTATCGTAGTCGGTAGATGCTTCCATCTCTCTCTCTCTCTCTCTCTTTCTGCAGATTGCAGCTCTCCCCTGACTTTTTCGTGCAGCCCAATACATGACGGTATTGGCTCCATCATAAGTGCAATAATTGTGAGTAACTTAAATTGAGTCCATCACACATACTGGTACTGTAACTCCAGCCACGACCACCATAATAACTCCCCAGAGAGCATCATCATCTCATCCCACAGCCACACACACAAAGATTTACTGACTCTTCTTCCTGTCATAGGCAGCCACACAACCCTTTCACGAACAGTGACGCGGTCCCGAATCCTTATGATCCCGGCAACATTAAACTTGACTAACACCCTGCTGATGCCAAGACAGGGTAACTCACTGTTGGCATTATACTAGAATACAGGTACAGTGCTGATAGGGCGGCAGCGAGCGGTACCGGGACCGGGGGTATGTAGCTCGGGACGGACTGTGCTTGTACTGTACGTGTAAGGGATTATTTCCATTCCGCTTACAATACTTGTACAATAGAGGTTGTGTCACACCCTTCTCTCCCCTCCCTTGCCCTCTCTTTCTTTCAAGGGTGGAGGAGATGCTCTCACCCCTACTCTCTCCCTCCCTTTCTCTCTTCTAAAATTACGACATCACCGACCTATACTATACATACATACAAACCCCTCCAGCAAAACTCGGACCCTCCAAATACAGTATGGCCACAATTAGACCTATTGAAGGCCGCTCGGTACGTTGGAAATCCCTCTCCCTCCTCCCCCACCCCTCCTGCTGGAATAGTTTGTAAAGAAGGAAGAGGAAAAATTTGTAGAAAAGAAAAAGTGTATTAAATTGAGTTGTGCGTGGCCGGTTTTGTGCTTTCGCCTTGGATTGGCTTGTTTTTGATAGGTTCACCAAATACAATCTGGACAAGTTATTAGCGAGGGCTTGACCTCTGTTGTTAAAGAATTGGTGGAGAATGGATTGGATGCTCATGCTACGTCTATCGGTATGGCAATCGTCCTCTTCCTACACCGTGAATGTATGGGCTCTGATTGTGTGTGGGGGGGAGTGTAGAAGTTAGGTTTAAGAGTAATGGCCTCGATGCAATCGAGGTTATAGATAATGGGGATGGTATTTCGCCGGAAAATTATGAGAGTATTGGTAAGGGATACGTTTTTCCCTATTTATTTATTTATTTTGGCTTTTTACTGCTGGGGGGTTTTGTCTGCTGAATATTGGGTGTCCGTCCAGCTCTCAAGCACTGGACTTCCAAGTTGACCTCGTATGCGGACCTTGATTCCGTCACCACATTCGGCTTTCGAGGGGAGGCTTTGTCCTCGCTTTGTGCTCTCTCAGACTTGCAGATAGTCACCGCGACGGCGTCTGAAGCTCCGAAGGGCACAAAGCTCGAGTTTGAAATGTCCGGGAAACTCAAGTCTCGCTCCGTCACGGCCGCTCAGAAGGGGACTGCTGTCCTTGTAGAGAATATATTCAAAACGCTCCCGGTTCGCCGGAAGGAGCTGGAGAGGAATATCAAGAGGGAGTATACGAAGGTCTTAGGCATACTCCAGGCTTATGCTGGCGTATGTGTTGGGGTCAAGTTCTCGGTGTTCAACCAGCCGGCGAAGGGGTATATTGTCGCGCTTGTTTGAATGAAAGAGGAGTGCTGACTGGGTTATTAGGAGGAGAACCCCGGTTTTTGCTACCAAGGGCAATCCTACCGTTAGGGAGAATGTCTCAAATGTTTTTGGGGCAAAAGCTCTGTCCGCCTTGGTCCCAATGAATTTGGAGTTTGAAATGAAGCCTACGAGGAAGGGATTTCAGAAGGCAGCAAAACCCAGGTGAGTCCCCCTTCCTATTATAGTTCTATCTGGCCCGTGAGCAAAGTTACATATAATTTCGGGCCCTAGTGAAAAAATGATCAAGATAGTGGGCTTTATATCACGGCCTGTCGTTGGGGAAGGCAGGCTGGCCCCTGATCGTCAGATGTTCTTCGTCAACGGAAGGCCTTGTATGCTACCCCAGGTACGTAACTGCTGCATATGGGCTGTGATCTGAGCATGCTGCTCACAGAGTACAAGGTTGCTCGTGCTATAAACGAAGTGTACAAGCATTTTAATGTGACCCAATCGCCATTCATATTTGCCGATATCCAGCTTGATACTAGTCAGCCCTTCCTTCGGCGCGTTGTGTAGACAGGCAATTCTAATCAAGGACAGATGCATACGACGTCAACGTTTCTCCCGACAAGAGGACCATCCTCCTGCACGATCAGGCGGAAATGATGGAGTCATTAAAAGTGTTTACCTGAGACCCATGCCAATGAAATGATATTGACGGGGCAATAATAGGTTTCACTGACGGACTTATTCGACAATCACGAACAAACTGTCCCGAATTCAGTGACCCAGTCAAAAACGCAAAACTTGAAGCAGATGACTCTAGATAAAACTCCTGCCAAACCCGCGCAAGCAATGCAGCAAGTAATGGAAGATGATTCCGCCGAAGAGGATGACGCAAGTTATTATGCCCCACCCAAATTACTGAACATTCTCAGTTCATCGCCTTCCCGTGCTGCCGCTTTTGATTCTCTCTCGTTGGGACAGTCTACAGCAGCAGGTTCTGATCCAAAAGGGAAAGGCAAAGAAACCCATCCAACACCCTCCTTTCGGAGCATCAAGAATCCCGATAAAGTTAGTGGGCCATCCGGAGGGCCTGATGCTGCTGATTATGAAGATCCTGAAGGCATGGAAGAAGATGTTATGCTCCCGTCTCTGCGCCTAGAGTCTCAAGGCTTAGTTCACCGAGCTTCTACGAGCGCTGTTCCCGCTGCTTCACATAGGTCTCCTAGGAGGCCGCAGCAGGGTCCGGCAACAATAAAGATTGGTGATCGGGAGCCGGTAACTTCTGGGGGGGACAGCCCCCCACACTCGCCCACTAAGCGGAGGAAGACGGGTAATGGGCCGGCGAGCAGGAAGGGGAAGACAACCGGCATTTCTAAGTTCTCCAGTACACTTAGTCGGTTCGCAGCGCCGGGAACTGAACTGCCACTCCCGACCACGGACAACGAGGAGTCTGAAGACGGTGATCATCTTATGGATGAGGATGATAATTCAGAAGTTGTAGAGGGTGAAGAGAGCAGCAGCGAGGCGGTTCGGGATGGTAGGGCGGAGGAGCCGGCGACAGATATTATGGCGCTAGATGGGGGTGAGAAAGGTGGCGATTGTAGAGATGACACCGAAATGACTGCGGTCGAGCCATCCACTAAAGATGATTCTCCCCTATTCCTCCCAAACCTGAACCCCGATGTCGACCCTGACGATTCTGAGGAGGACGAAGAGACCGCCCTACAATCCCCCGCCTCCTCCTCCGATGCATACGTCGAAGGGGGCTATATAGACGAAGAACAAAACCGTCAGCAAACCGCTCAAAAAGCCGAACGCCTCCTTAAAGAAGCCGAAGAGAAGCCTACACAGCCTACTACCGAATCCCTCGAACGGGCCTTGCGAATCCTAGAAGACTCGCACAAAATCTCTACGAAGAATGCGGTCCGCTTCGTCCCTACCTCAATCAACAAGCTGCGAGACCGAGTGCATGAATTATCCAAGGTTGCCTCGACCGTAAAATACATCGCGTCACCGGGCCGGGGTGAGACTGGGCTGGAAGAACGCGATGATGTCGCTGAAGAACGCCTAAACCTAGCCGTCACAAAGCAAGATTTCTTCGAAATGCAAATAAAGGGGCAATTCAACAAAGGATTCATACTAGCAACTCGGGCCGACGACCTCTTCATAATAGATCAACACGCCAGTGACGAGAAGTACAATTTTGAAAAACTACAGCAGGTGACAATCGTGCAGAACCAGCGGCTGGCAGTACCGAAAAAGTTGGACCTGATGGCGGTGGACGAAATTGTTGTGATCGATCACATAGATACTTTCAAGAAGAATGGGTTTGTGATAGAGGTTGACACCGGTGCGCCCGTTGGGGAGAAATGCAAGCTTATTAGTTTGCCGATAAGCAAGGAGACCGTGTTTGGTTTGGATGGTACCGTACCCCCCGCTCTAAACATATGAGATGAGGTTTGGGGCTAAACTTGTGAGGATAGATCTGGAAGAGTTAATCCACCTAATAAGCGAAGACCCCGGGAACTCCGCCGTACGCTGTTCGAAGGTGCGAAAGATGTTTGCTATGAGGGCATGCAGGAAGAGCGTCATGGTTGGAAAAGCACTTACGGAGAAGGGGATGGAGAAACTCGTCAAGCACATGGTGAGTCACACTGTTCATTCCCAGTTGCTGTCAGGCGTGCTTAAGAAGTGGTGTATAGGGAGAGCTAGATAAACCCTGGAACTGCCCGCACGGAAGGCCAACGATGAGGCACTTATCGGATCTAGGTCGGGCAAAGTACTGGAGGGGTAGGGATCAGGAGAGATACGGTGGGTTGAAGTGGGGAAGTGAGTCGTGGGCGGAGACGCGGCTGGCGATTGAAGCGGCGGCTGAGTGATGAGTTGTGAACGGGTGATAGGTTATGAATGCTGGTGGAGTTTGTGCAATTTAGCGGTTCTGAGCCTCTATATTTTTTAGAGAGCTATTTTTGCGACATCAGGTTGGAGAAGTGTCATATGGTATGGTTTTGCTGCTGTTGTGGATTTCAAGGAGGTGATATACGGTAATGTCTTTGTAAATCCTATATAAAGGTATCATACCAGGTCAGAACGTTTCGTCCGACGCCCGGTTTTACACCCAATTTAACGAAAAATGGGCATTTCCAAACAGACATTTCCCAACGCTACCCTTTTGAAAACACTTTAATTCTTTCCATAGACCAGACAATTACTATCCGTTTAACCCTCTAGAAGTAGAGCTGTAATGAATCAAAGCTGTGTTAACTGTTTATGATGGTGTCCACTAGTGTGAAAGTGAGCTAGATTTTTGTATGGGGAGCTATACAAAAAAGCACATCACAACCAATACTTCATACTAAGATGACATTTTCTCCTCTCCTTTATAATACTTAAAAGTTCTGTAGTATTCCCCATGTTGTCTGTAGGCTTACTAGTTGCGCTCCAAAATTCTAGTAGATTTTCAAAGGCATTGCACTGTAAGAGAGGGTGGTGAAGGTGGATACTCTTGGTATAAAAAGGGCATCGGACAAACGTTTTGACCAAGTACTGTATAAACGAATTACATGCAAACTTGAATCTTAACACCACCGCTAGTCCCTAAGAGATACAGAGGAAAGAGGAAAAAGGAAAAAAAACCTTGAAAGTATGATAAGCCAAAGAACTTACATGACGTTCCAAAAGTAATTCGCATAAAAGAAATGTGAGAACTTTCTCTCGATATTGACGACGTGTATATCGCCCTTTGAAGAGTTTCCTGTAATAATAATCATAAAAAGTAGTCAGCACCATCCCACTAGAAATAGAAGGGAAGGAAAACTCACGAATAACCGCCTTCGAATACCCCGCCGCCCCATCCTCCTGCAAATCAATGCCTAGGGACCTATAAACTTTCAACTTCAGCAACGTCCCATCCTCGGCCTCGACAAGCGCGCTCTGCATGGGGTCCTCCCCATCAACCTGCTCGAGCTCCTCCTTCAACCTAGCCAACTGTCCCTCGAGCCCATGCGCGCTACTCTCGAGCTCGTTGATGCCCTTCGCCAGCGCAAACTTCTCGCGATCCAGCCGCAGCATATTGGCGCCATGCTCTTTGCGCCCTGCCGCGCTCGCCGTCGCCTCCATCGACTGCTTCGATATCTCCATCTTACGCGACAGCGCGCGCAGCGTCGCGCGCGAGTCGTCATGGATTTTTTCTCGCTCTGAGGCGATGCGCGTTAGGGTTTCGTTGATGCGTGTTAGGGAGTGCATGTCGCTGCTTATGTTGAAGTTTGAGAGGACTTCGTGTATTAGGAATTCTATCGGGGGGGTTAGTGGTGGGGGGATATAATGGGGTAGTGAGGGTACCGGGGGCTTCATCTAGGAGGACCATTTTGCCTGATTTTGGAACTATTCCGTTTTGCCTTTGTAAAGCTGTGGAGATTTGGAAGCCGTTTTCGTACGTGGGGGGATTGTAGTGAGTGAGATGGGAGAGGAGGAAGAAGCTGTGATGAAGCAAGAACTCTTATCGGCTGAGAGAAAAAGAGAGTCCAAAACCGTTACCACGGCAACCCCCCTCCTGTCTTTCAGCCACGCGAGACCTTACTGTTCACCAGCCACTCACACACTCTCAAAATTTATATCATAATATTATATCATAATAATAGTATGATACTTGTATAGTAACACAAAATCCACTGCCACAAATGCCATCATAATTATCATACACAATCCATCCGATCCCGTATCGCTGCTCGCTCATCCGCCACTTTAAAAGTGACTGGCTACCCTACCGACCAACCCGCCTCTGCACTGGAGTACCTTAACCTTCAATAATTTCCCCCCAACAACCTATCTCACTGTCCACCATACATAGACCCGTTTCACATTCGGGTTTTTTTTTTCCGAGCCAAGTTTTTCAATTAGAACTCGATGCCGTCTGATAACCTGCCACGTGAGTTGTTTCCCCCTCATTTCTTTTTTCCTTTCGATTTCTAAGTGAGCCGGGAACTGAATGTTTTTCGAGGGGTTAGACGCTGTCGATGCAGAAAGGTTTGTTTGCCCCCGGTATAACTGCTACACTTTACAAGTATCGGGCATGGCGGAGGTTGATATTTAGTAGCCCTCTCAAGGAAGCAGAGCTCCAGGTTCTTCGTAACCAGTTCGAGAAAGAGGGACAGTTTGTTGGCGTCCAGACTAAGTTCAACTACGCATGGGGTTTGATCAAGAGCGAGAAGCGGTTGGAGCAGCAGATGGGGGTTAGGTTATTGACTGGTTTGTCCTCTTTCCCCCTCACTCCGCTTTAGTGTTGGGTGGGTGGAGCTGATCGGGTGGAATAGATATCTTCCGCGACCATAACGAGCGCCGCCGTGAATGCCTTTACTACCTTGCTCTCGGAAACTATAAACTTGGGAATTACGCCGAGGCTAGGAGGTACAATGACAGATTGCTAGAGAACGAACCGGCGAATTTGCAGTCGCAGAGTTTGAGGGGGTTGATTGATGATAAGGTTGCTAAGGGTTTGTTCTCCAATTTTCTATTGATGATGAAGTTTCGGGTGCTGATGTGTGTGGATTTGTGTAGAGGGTATGCTCGGCGTAGCCATCGTCGGCGGTGTAGCGTTAGCAGCAGGACTTGTCGGCTCCGCGCTCTGGAGAGGTATGTCTAGAAAGCGGTGAGCAGTGGTGGAAGTGACACTTGCTGCGCACATTTGACTCTGTGAAGGCGCTTGAAAAGGGGTGAATGATACGAGGGAAACGATTGCCATGTATTGATGCCCCGTTTCCTATGATCAACGTATTGTGGAAGGGGGAGGAGGGTGTTGACTAAACTTGGGGTGAGATTATGCATAGTGTGGTGGGGTTTCCAGAAAGCCGTGTAGCAGCTGTGATAGGTTCTCTGCACAGTCTTTGATATCTCTTTTGTGTCCCTTTACTTTACTTTTTGCCCGTTTTTTACTTCACTTCAAAGGCACTTTTTCTTTTATTGGGGTTTGATTTGGCAGGATGACGGGGTTAGCTCCCGTATATCATGGGTATTAGATTTTTCTTCCTTCCTTTTCTTCTTCAATACTCGGCTTCCGTGCTCATAGTAAAGAGTGTCAGTACTATCACGCTCGAGCACTTGTTGTGGAAATAGAAGTCGAGCACCGCGATCCCCTCGGGTCAGAGAGTCCAGATACACAAGGAAACTGGATGGTCCAGCCCTCTACAGTAACTTATCGATAGGGTAGCATACAGTGTGTTCTAGAATCGCGAGATTCTGGCACTGCAAGTGCCCACACAGAAATTAGGCACCGCAAATAAGTCTCGACCAATCAGACTGTAAAGACTTGGCAATCCTCGCGAAGCCGGAACAGACTAAGTTAATCAGAGTTGTTCCTTAGATCAGAGCCACCGCACCCATGGAACATTCCAGCGATTTCGGCCTGAAGCTGGATTGCCCAGGATGTTTTTTGGTTTTCCGCTAGCCGGCCAGTATTATACGATACCGGTATCGGATATGCCTCTGTGGGAGGAAATTTTTAACTTGTGATATGGTACCGCCAAAGTCACTGTCGATATTCGAGTAGGTTATGGCAACTTTCGTGTGGTACGGGTATTTTGCAGGAATGGGGGGAGGGGGAAATCTCGCAGGTGTAAATTATTAAGCTGTGATATGTACCGTACCAGTATCAGGCATACCGGCAGACTGCTAGCATCACAGCTGCAGCCAGTGGTCGATAGGGCTTCGAAACCCTGCTGTTGCTAATCGATAGAGCAATCTCTATCATAACCCATACTGAATGCATCGGTTACTGTCACTGCACTTCCGATTCGAACCTTCCGCCACCTTTTCGTGTCCTATCTGGCGATAACTATTAAGTTCTGTATCGGAGCCGTGATTTATGGTCTCGGGGGGGGGTCCTGCTTTCTTTTTCCTTTTATCACCATCACCATACCGGTAGACTATCTCCCTCTCCCCCTTCATCTGACTCTGTCTGCGGCATCTGCGTGGCTCGTGTACTCAACGGGCCTAGAAACTGGGAACTCTATCATATCATAATACAATTGACGCTGGTTTTGTCAGGTTACAAACTTGCGGCTGATACCGGCACCAGCTACATAACCCTGGAGTTCGTTGCCCCACCCGGCCCCTTGTCCACCCCCCTGCTCAGTCGACATCATCCCGATCCTTAAACCCCCTCCTCTTCCTTCTCCAAGCTTCAAACTCACCCCACACCACTAGCCTACAACAAACGAGAACGCTCATCCGTTCCGTTCCTCCTTTCGGTAGTCGCTTGACTTGATATTGCGGCCCCCTCTGCTTCTGCACAAACAAACTCAACTACACCCCTCTTTCCACCCTCCCACGAGTTTAACTCCGGAGAGCACAAATTAGCCATGTCTTCGAACCAAAGCCATCCTGCCGAGCGGGAATTAGTTTATTGCCACGCCTGCGCAGAGGAATGGTATAGAGATGAGCATGGCTTGGTTTGCCCGCGCCCAAACTGTGGTAGCGATGTTGTCGAGATCGCAAGCTTCCCGTCCCCTTTGTCCTGGTTCTTCTTCCCTGATGGGGGCCATCATTGTACTAATTATTAATCTACGCCTTGCAGATTGAAAGAAATAACGATCCCCGGGTGGGTCGAGGTGGATTCGCTTTTCATCACGCACTTGATGATGCTGACGATGATGACGACGACGATGATCACAGACACCGTACCAATGCCACTTTATTTCGTTTTGATGGCCCGGGCTTGAGGGTCACCTCTACACAGCGGAGTTTCCGAGGCCCTCGTAGTTCCGACCAGCCGCCAAGGCAGGGTTCGGCGGGCTCAACGGGCTTGGACGATGATATCCCGCTAGTTGCTACGGAGGATATGGTGAATATGTTCACGAACATCATTCAGACACTGGTTGGTCCTGTGACATCACCTGGTCAGCCGCCACATCGGCCAGGTGGGGGTGGATCGCCACAGTCACACGGGGCTGATGAACATAACCACACCCATTCTCATGCACATGCCCACGCACATGCTCATATGTTTGGCCCCGCGGGGCTCAGTGGCTCGGAGAGATTCTTCTATGATTCTGGTGCTAGATTGAGCCCGAGAGATGCAGATGCGCCGCAACCGGCAGGGGAGCCGCGAGTGGTGGACTTGACAGCGTACGTTATTGTTGCTATTACTTTCGGGACCCTGATGATTTTACTGGCAGCCATTAGGGTACAAGGTGTATTGTTGCTAACATGTTTTAAATATATTGATAGGATTCTCAGTTTACTTGGACCTAGGCAGGAGGGGGGTGGGCCTGCACTTGGTCCCGGCCCGGGCGGTTTGCTTGCTCGATTAATGGGAATGCCCCCCGGCGCAGAGGGTGACTTTGTCTATTCTCAGGCGCAGCTTGACCGAGTGCTTTCACAACTCATGGAGCAACACCAAGGAAATGCTCCACCTCCAGCTTCGAGAGAGGCCATAGAGTCTCTGCCTAAAGTTAAGGTCACTCACCAAATGGTATTAGACGGGGACGACTGCGCAATCTGCAAGGAAGACCTTGTTATTAATGAAGAGGTCTCGCAATTACCATGTAAACATTGCTACCACTTCCAATGCGTCTCGAGATGGCTAGAAGAGCATGATGTAGGCGCTCGTCGCCCCATATCGCTCACTACTACAAAACTAACACTTCTAGACTTGCCCTATATGCAGGCATCCAATTACACCAGAAGATCCACGACAACAGCCACAGTCACCAAATGCGCAACAGCCCCGACCAGCTGTATGGCCATTTAACACTTCTTTACGCCCGCCGAACGAGTCACAATCACCTGGTGGTTCTTCCTCCCCCAGCAATGGCGGCAACAGTGGTTCTAGAAGTAGCGGTGGAAGCAGACTTGCGGACCTGTTTAGGCGAGGCTAGGGAGCGGGTGGTGGGGAGCTTTTTTTTTCTTCGAAAAAAAAATTAGGCGAACTGTGGGAGTCAGGTTTCATCGATTTTTCCCCTTCTCCATCCTCCTTCCTGAGTCGATTTTTACCTCTTCCTCTGCGTTACCTTTTCGCTGTTTCGGTTCTCGACTGAAACCCTGTCCTGATCAAGTAATCCTGTAAAAAAAATCAATTCTGCTCTGTGGGTGATTCTTTTTCTTTTCTCCTTTCTCCTTTCTCCTTTTCGTTATATCTATCTAAGCTAGGGATCGCATTCTTTCTCTTATTCTATTTTATTGTCTCGTTGCTTCTCGTTCAACGATAGAGGTTTACCTTTTTGTAACCCTAGGATCTGAAATACTGAAATTAACTTGCTGGTATGGGGATATCTACGGCAGGGTGTCTATGGGCAAATTATTTTCGGTGGCTTTTTTTGTGTTTAGCCTTGATAATTTGCTGGCTTGGGTTGTGTGTCTTCGAAATCAAGGAGATTTAATGGTGCTTCTGTGTCAATTCTTGTTTTTCTTTAGAATATGTATTGCGTGCGGGTTCTGAAGATAGTGGTAAGCGGCAGTCGGAGCATGGATATCGTAGTCAATTTTTCTTCCCAATAATAAGGTTAATACAAGCTCCGTGCCCAGGGTATTATTCTCGTGAGAGTGATTTTCTATGATTCATTGTGTCTGATAATTTTTTAGTATCGAGTAAGTACAGGTGTTGCATTACCCGTAGATTACTTTATGGTGTTAGCCAATAGTATCTACACAATTTGTGTAGGAATTATTTTTTGTTCTATGTACGAGGATGTGGACAAAAATCACGGTTAGTGATCGCACATCGCAATCACAACCCCAATACCTATATTTGCTGAAAATGACCTCTATCCCCCCATGAAAGCCTCCCCTCGGTGAATGGCATAGCACACCGATGCAAGCCAGAGTTCTCACATTGCTCTCCACTGGGCTTTCACAATCCGAGATTTCATGGCAGACTGGGGTTCCACAATGAACAATCAGTGATTGGAATAAGCAGCAACGGTCATGAAGGCAATGGGACTGACCAGGACACCCACACCTCCTAGATGAGCGAGATGTTTGGCGATTAATCTTCCATCTCTGAAGTGGCTAGGAGGGGCAACACCTTTGCTGGCAAAGGTTGAGTTAAGTGGTGGGATTGACAGTTTCTGTTAGGCGGAGATGATCTGTATAGATACAGAATTGTCTAGGCCAATCAAGATTTGTTTTGTAGATGGAGATTTGTCTAGGAAGGCCCAAAGGGTAACTTATTTCATTTACGACTACTAAGAGTAAAGTAAAGTATAATTGAATTGTAATACAACATTATATTGTTAAGGTCTCTTCTCTACTGCTTGGTAGTGTATACAAGCTTGGGAGGCACTTCGATATTTATATTCTGCATCTGAGTGTTCATGGACAACATCTATCTCTCATACAAATTGTGTACCTCTTTAACTATAACTAGCAATGTTGGATATTCTCCTGAAGTGCAAACACTATAAGACCCTGAAAACTATCATATACTCTTCAGTAATTACTATTTTGTCAATTGGAAACTGTGCTGTTTCCAATAGTAATTATCTGATCTTTAGACTTATAGCCTAGTTCACAAGTTGAACTGTGTTGGCCTCAATTGTCTTCCCTATTGATGAAACGATTAGTTTCATTCACGGGTTGTGTCTGCAGGAGTTGTTGTAGATGTAACCTTTCTAGATCACCGACTTTAAACCTTCATAACTCCTGATCTAACTGCCAGATATCTTCCAGATAACTTCCTACTAATTTAAAGGAAGCCATTCTACCAGGTTGGTAGATAATCCCTTGGTTAGCAACTCCTGATTGTTCTAGGTAGTAGGACTTTAGTCATTGTTTGGTATTAGATACAATTCCTGCAATTACAAAACCTCCTTGGACCTGGTTGTAACACTCTGCAAAGTCCGTTGACTTCTTTGGTAGTATTCCTTGGAGTTCTAGACACTCCTAATTATAGTAGGGTGGATGAGAATGTGTTGGCCCTTTATAGAGATCCTCTAACATTCAATATCATATCTTTGAGCAATAATGTCCTGTTACTTATGGTCTGTACAAAAGATGTTACATTTTTGAAGCCTAGTAACTCTTTGAGTAGTTGACAGATTTACTCTGTTTCTCTTTTCGGATCTAGCCGAATGTCCCCTCTCATAGACCCTAAGAACAGGATCTGGTTGGATAGATAGCAGCAATGTAGACGGTGTTTTCCTAACACCTTGAACTCTGTGGTATTACAGTTACAGGACGCAACTAAGATAAATATGTATGATGATATGTGAGCCCCATAAGGGGGCTGGAGGGGGGTGTTGGAGACCAGAGATTCCAATTCTGAGTGGAGTTACCTTACTTAGGGTAGTAACTAAGTATCAGATCCCAATACTCCTAACAGTTTTCTCTATGATAATTAAGTAAGTATTAGAGAAAAGAGGATACTCTAGATGCAAGGCTTGTAAGAAGCCTTTTATTAAAAGAGAAAATGAGCAAAAGTGTAAGGTCTATGCTGAGGAACATATACTCAAGCCCATAGACTGATGGCGAAAGCATATGTTTTCAGATAAATGTATCTTTGATACATCTCAGCAAAGTGGCATTTAGGTTACTTGACTTTCTGGAGAGGGCTACCATGATAATTGCATGTAGTATTTATTTCATAGTGGCTGTGCATCCCAAATGATATGGGGAGCGATTAATTATAATCAGAAGTTATCACTAGTCTTTCTTGAAGGAACAGGTAAAAAAGGAATTACGGTAAAAGACTACCTCTATCAGGTTATTGAACCAATTATTGCTCCTGCCTACATGCATCTCCTAAACTATGATGTATCTGCAGAAGCCGAATTTATTGAGGATGAGGCTTCAATTCATAGAACCTAAGGAATTCTCATAAAATGAAAAATGAGATTAGGTATTTCACTTCATGCTTGGCCAGCTTTGTTACCAGTCCTAAATCTGATAGAAAGAGTATAGAGGATATTGAAGCAACAAATTAAGAGAAGAGATACCTTTCCTAAAACCATCTATCAGATGAGAATGGCAGTTCAGGAGGTGTGTGATCGTTTATAACCTAGTGATTAGAATTGTTATATCAACAGTATGCCTACGAGACTTGCACAATTCAAGCAGTGGAAAGGGATGCAAAATAAATTTTAAGATTCTTTATATGTTTACATTTGCTACTTGTACTGTGGTGTATTTTTTTTAATTTTTTCTTCTATCTTGATTATTATAATATTCAAGGTTGTTTAAGGGTGGTCAGGTGTTCAGAGATATAATTAAATATTATTATGATTTATTATGTTTCACACATGACTCCACTATAAGTCATATGACTTGTTTAGGTTATGATTTGTTATGTTTTACAGATGACTTGATTATAAGACATAGGTTTTGCGCATTTGTGTAACGATCCGTCCTTGGATAGTTAGTTCTTGGCGATGGGGAATGATACTTCTCTTCTTCTGTTTCTTTCCTTAGTCTTATGATAGCACTAGGCCTCTGCCTATGTTACCGATAGTATAAGACCTTGGTCTTCTATCTGGAATGCCTATCATAAGCTTTCTCTAACTCTTCTTCATGAAGCGCTCTCTTTGGCGTAACGATAACATTGCAATAAAGATAAAAATCGTAAAGGTGTTTTATATTCGTTAAAGTAATAAGTAGGAAAAGTAAACAACATGGTAGGATTCTGACTGTAGAAATAAAAACATAATGAGGAGTGGCTGGGCGGGTACTGCCCTGCCACCTGAGGAATGATGCGGCCGGTATGATGAGTTAAACTTGGTAAGATCATCAGTCTAACCCAAGGGCATTTTATATCGTGAGACCTAAGGACTCTGTTAAAACCCAACAAGAACATGAGCTGGCCCAGAGAACGACACAGGTGATCCCCCTAAACACAATGTTCAATCCCCGCAAACGAACATGAAACCTGTGAGTAGATGATAGACAGGAAGCTGAAGATATTTTACTGAAAGGGGCTCGTAAGCGACTGTGATAAATAGCTCAAATTGCCAGTATCGTGAGGTAACCAGCAGGCAATGAAATAAGAAGCAAACAAGTAATCCGCCATGCAATGCCTAACAAACCTCAATACCAAGAACCCTAGGAACTACTGAGCAAATTCAGATATCTCTCACAGAATCCGAGACATCAGGACCCATCATGGGTGCGAAAGAATCACTTGAGGTGAAGCGACGGCAAGGACAAGGAAAAGTATTTAGAACAAAGCGTGAAGAGCCTATCCTCCATGACCGCATTGGCCTCCTTATTTAGTGTTCTTCTCACCTGTAGTCATGTGACCCAAAGTGGTCACATGTGTGAAACCAAATCATAACAAACTAATCATATGACCAAAGTAGTCACATGCTCAAAACACATGACCTCATAGCAAGGTCATGTGCAAAAACTCATAAACCAATTATACTACAATAAACAAGTCATATAACTCGACTGAGTCACATGCGTGAAACCCATGACCTCATAATGAGGTCATGTGTGAAATATAAATCATATGCGCAAGGCATACCTGCAAGGCATACCCGCAAGGTATACTCACAAGGTATACTTACTCGGAGCACATCTCATGACTCATAATTGAGTCATGTGCGAAACATAACAAATCATAACATAATAAGTCATATGACCTAAATAAATCATATGCATGAAACTATAACGTACCTGTGACTCATAATCATGAGTTATGTGAAAACCTTTTCCATGCCAAGCCACGTTCGTGATATTAGCTCCTCTCCCTCTAAGCCTGAGTCCCATCAGGCTTTGTCTCCTAGCTTCAATAGTTCATGTCCTGCCAAACACATGGATCTCCGTAACCTATTGAGCTTGTCGTCTGCTTTCCGCCATCTTACCCTCACTGTTTCCAAGGTGAGGTTTGCCATCTCGATCGTGCATCACTGGGCATCGTTCGGCTGCTTCATCTCTTCGATCGTTTTATCGTTTGTCGAAATTGTGGCCTCGGCTTGGCCCAGTTGTTCTCAGAGTCCTCAGATTTGCCTATGTAGGCTTCTGGTATCTGGTTCCATTTCCGTGGATGAATTTTGGGCTCCTCCCTCCCTGGGCCTCATCCTTGAGGCCCTAGCCCTCTGCCATATCGTGGCGTCCTTTCTGTCCAACTCTTTCTTTGTCCCATCCTTTCGCGGGTAATATCCTGCAGTGATTTTCTTCATCCTGTACATCTTGCACGTGTTGTTGAAGCTCTGTTTCCAGTGCTTTAGGGCATGGTCTGGGTGTGGACCAAACTTTTTGTATTCTCTCGGGAACCATCCCGAGCCCTCTTTGTCCCCATAATGTGTGGGGCATCCATCATTGTAGTATACTGTCTATGACATGGCATTATACTGTGCTTGTTTTTCCCTTTCTTTGAGTTCTTCATTGGTTGACCCCATGAATGAGTATTCGGGACTGGTGGGTATGGTTTGTATGGGGCTATCGCCCCCACCCTTGTACAGTTACAATGGTGCAGGAGGCTTTCCCTCGCCTTTGTCTTGGTTGAAAGTAATTGTTACCTGAGTGGGGCTTGGCTGGATATCACTGGTGGAAGGTTGAGAGGGCATCTTGTGCGTGTT